TCATATATACTACTAAACATGTTCTGAATGCTCCAGGATACTTTCCTGCCAAAGGGGCAAAAGTGCGAAAGTGTTTTATATCCTACCATATGTTGAATTGCCCCTGGAGGAGGAGCAGGCATACAAATGAGCAAAAAAGTGGTCTATTATATTATGTGATACATATATATACTGAACTACTACTTAGATACATGAGGGGACCTATTGTGGTGCAGTGGTAAAGCTGCAGTGAGGTGGGAAGGGTGTGGGAATAATTGATATTGTGGAAAATACCAAAATGGGCAATGTTTTGGGTGTTGTGGGGTAATTCCCACGCTGTGTGGCCAAAAATGCGGTGTAGTATTATTGTGGGAAGTCCTGACATGAGGAATTGAGCCAGAATGAGCAGAAACATACCAAATTGAGCTGTTTGGCAAATTATTCATTGTGGAAGCGGTAATGGATAATCTGTCAAGCATCAGCAATCCATGACAAGGAAGGATAACCAGTGGTCTCTAATGAGACTTGGTTATCCATAATACTGCCAGGAGCAGGTGTTTCCTGATGCCTAGTGTTGGAGATTAGAGAAACTGAGGGGGTGTGTTGGAGATCAAAGAGTTGAAGGGCATTTGTTCTTGGTCATCGTTTCTCTACTTTTGGACTGATTAACATTATGATAGAGTCGAGGGTGCAACCTCGCCACTTCGTACCATATGGCTGTTACTTCGCACCGCATGGCTACTACTTCGTATCATATTCAAGCTCCGTCGTCATTTGCATAAGTATCTTGCATCCTCATTGTCCATGTACCTCAGTTGTTGTTCACCAACGCTGAGCGTACTTCCTACACCTAGAAAATCACCAAGTTACTTATGGGAAAGATCTTGTGTATTATGTAATGTCGAACTTTTATTCAAGTTCCTTTCTTTCCTCGCGAAGACAGCCAATACCTATGTGCATCCTAACGGTAGCAGGAAACTCACTGTACTCAGCATAAAAATTTACAATGTCTTGGGCGCTTGGGATAGTACTAGTATTTTCACACTAAGAAACTCAGGTTACTGTCATTTTTCTCCATCAATAGATCCTTCAAATTAGTGATGTGCAGGGCCTGGCCTCAAGCCGTGGGCCGAGCCTGACCAAACTTACTTAGGCCGAGCCCAGCCGAGCCTTGAGGGCGGCCTAGTAGGGCTCATGGCTCGGCCTGAGGTATGTGAAAGCCAGAGCCGGGCCGCCAAGCCATGGCTTTCAAGGTAGGTAGGTTTTGATCTTCGCACGGCAAACACCAAATAACTAAATAGTTTTTTGTGCACTTGGCACACCATAGCCTAAAACTTAATACTTCCAGTCATCTTATCTCCAAATGGCTCCGTGCGTCTATTCAGATGACGAGGACACACCTCCACAACGTCCTAAACAGGTTGTTGTGCCATCTGCCAAGGTAATCAGCGCTGATAATACTGCTGACCTTGAACTCCATTCTAACAGAAAGGCTCACAGTGCTGCCAATGCTGCGCCCTCGCACATCCAAACCCCCACCACTGTCACTGCCTCTAATGAGGATGATAGTGACATTCACCTGCTTCACAGCAAACCCAGACGGCTCACAAAAGGTATGTCATTCTTTTGTCTTTCTAGTACTGACATTTTGAATCCTCACAGGCAAAAAATGTGCTCGTGTTGCTGCTGACGGCAACAGTGAACTGTCCGCAGGGGCTGAACTTGAGCCAGATAGCCTCCTGAATGAGGCAGGCCCATCTGCAACTAGTAAGTCACGACCTGCTGCATTTGATGCTGACAATCTTACCTGTACATGTGGAGTCAATCCACCACAGGCTCCCACGTCACATGGAGGCTTTGCATTGGGTAAGCATTTCTGATGCTTATGAGTGACGTGTAGCACTAACTTTGTTCATTTGTAGAATGAATATATTCAATGGGCTGACCACAACAAATTTACTTTGATGTTACCGAGGGACACGAAATGTCGCAAGCTAGACACTGCTGCGGACTCTCAAGCTCGACTTGACGCCCACCTTTCTGACAAGAAACCAAAAGATCGCATCATCCCATATTCGGATGCACTCTTTCATGATGCCGCTATCGAGTGGTTAATTGAAACTGATCAGGTATGTTTCACTTGTCGCCATTAGGAACATGCTTATTTGTTCAATCTAGCCCATCAATGCAATAAATCACAAGTCTTTCAAGTATATGATTGACACAGCTGCACGTGCTACCAATGGTGTCAAACTACCAGGACGACGACAGACACGGCAAGCTATTATTGACCTTTTCAAATGCAATCTTACTGATCTTCACAACCGGCTACTTGTAAGTGTTCATACTCATGCATTCTCAGCTCACTAACATCGAGATACTTTAGAGCGAGGCAGTCAAAGGCCAAATCAACCTCATGTGTGATGCGTGGCAAGCCGAGAATGTCGACGGCTACTTTGCCGTCACAGGATCTTGGGTCGAGGAGGTGTCACTGCGTGACTGGAAAGTACAAATGGCACTGCTTGGTTTTACCCACCTCAACAATGCACACAATGGGACACGGCTTGGACAAGCTCTTTTTAAGGTTGTGAAACGAGTTGGTATTGCTCATAAGGTCCAGTAGACAATTTTCACATGTTCACGTCATGACATTGATGTGTTTGTAGATTGGTTATGTTATGTGCGATAATGCTGCAAATAATGACACCATGATGGCGCATTTTGGTATGCATATCGAAAAGTTCACGAAGAAGAAATTTGACCACAAGAAACGGCGACTGTGGTACGTGTTCAAAGAATATATTTTCAATGATTGTTTGACATTTCCCCAGCTGCCTTGCACATATTGTTAACCTTGCTACACAGGCATTGCTCATGGCCCACAGCAAATCCGAGCATTTTGACCCAACAAAGCCAGATGCGGTTCTTGTTGCCTCTCGTGGAATCCAGCGTGATGAGGTTGGATTAGTTCATGCTATGTGTCAAGGTCTGGGTTTATATTTATTTCTTAATACACAACTAACTTAAGGTTTGCTCAACAGGAACACTCATCAGCTCAGCATAAAGCGCTTTTCAAGATAATACAGCTGCGTAATGAAGACAGTCATGTACTGAGCAAGGAACACAAGCAACTGTTGATGGATATGAAAGTACGTTGGTCATCAATGTATGTCATGCTCGAACGAGCAGAGCAGCTTAAGAATGTATTTTTATGTTTTGATCTACATCTTCCACTATCTGATGTGCATTTGTTGTTTTGGACAGGATGTAGACTACTTCGTTGGCCGGATGGGACTTCTCGAGAAGGACCCCCACAAGCGCAAGAAGATAACCGACCTCGAACTCACAGCGTCTGAATGGAACCGCATCAAACTTTTACTCGACCTGCTAAGTGTGAGTGCTTCATGAGATGCATAGACCTATACTTACACATGAAAAGCATGCCGATAATGCCCAGCAAGCATTCTCGACTAACCAAGGCCCAACATTACATCTAGCATTACCTGCTCTGGAGGCCCTATGGAAAGCATGGTCGACTCATCATGGCTGTGAAAAGTATGCCGACTTTCAAGATGGACACTTGCTGCAGGAGTGGCAAAGATTTCAAGGTACTATGAAAAGTCTGCGGACTCTGATGCATACATCATTGCAATGTGTACATCAAACGTGAATCGATATTGCATGAAGCTGATTGTTGAACACGCAGTGCTCGATCCTCTTCAAAAGGCCAATCACATTCATCGGTATTGGGGTGAAGACTTGTATCATGAGGCTCTCACTCATGCTGAAGATATGGTAAGTCTTTTGTTGTCATTCACAAGAGTCACGTCTCATGTTGCATTAGTACAAACAGTATTATAAAGAGATGTATGGCAATGGTGTTCCAAAACCTGCAGTGGCAAACACGATCATTGGAGGGAGCCGAAAGCTCACGAACCTCATGTGGGAGCTATCCAATGATGAAGACATGATGTCCACTCCCACTGCTTTGAGTCTCACCTACGATCCTGCGAAGCCATGGCTGCAAGACTTCAACGCATACCTTAACTCAAAGGACCACCTTGGTGGTCAAACAATTGTTCAGTGGTGGGCATTTAATGCTCCTCGCTATCCTGTCTGGGCTGCGATAGCAAGAGACTTCCTCTCAATAATGGGATCTTCGGTGTCGAGTGAACGGGCCTTCTCATCTGCTGGCATTACAATTAGTAAGCGATGGAATCGGTTGAAATCTGACATTGTCGAAGCTCTCCAGTGTCTCAAGTGTATGATCAAAAGGGACCTCTTGTTCCGAGACTCGGGTGACCCATGTATTGCAGCTGAAGTTGATGGTATGGATGGAAGGCTTGACGAGAAAAGGGAAAGCTGGGATGTCATGGTTGAAGATGGAGACTCGGACAATAATGGTTTAGCTAGTGATATTGATGATTCTGAGGATGCAGAGGTACATATACTAACACTAGACGAAATTTGATTTTTTCTGGTGACAAGCCCTGGCCAAGCCTGAGCTGTCTATGCAGGCTCGGCTCACCATTTTTCAAAGCCTGAGCCTCGTCAGGCCGAGCCCTAGCCCCGGCTTTTGAGCCAAGCCGGGCCAGGAACATCACTACTTCAAATACCCGAAGGTTGAGAAAGAAAATCAATCTTTCCTGCATTCTCATTGTATATAGTTATTAATCAGAGCCAAAGCAAGGATAAGTACCATCCTTCAGAGCATTGTTCACTCGACAAGGCATGCTGTCGTTCATCGAGTCGATTCGACGATCTGGAACTGAGATCACGCCACGGCTTATGGCTCATGAACCATAAAGTCATAGAAGGAATACGATACCGATGGAAAGCAGGAATATATATCAAATCATCTATCTGGATCATCATAACACCTGCCCGGTATCCTCATCAGTCGCTCGCAGGTCCAAGCTTTACCTCACGAACCAAAAAAAAAACCAGTAACATCATGCGTGACCTCAAAGGAAAGTGCATCTGATCGAATCCTCTGCTTCCCACCACGGTGTTCCCTGTACGAGGGTCAGGATAAAATTATGTGCGTGAGATCGCATCTGTGCAACTTCTGAGCATCCGCCACTTGTCGGAAGAACCCAGGAGTTTCGCCAACCGGTCTGACAAAATCGGTTGTGCCTACAGAATCACGCAGAGTGGTAGAACCCGGAAGAACTCCAAGGTATGAGATATCCGAGACTGCGCGGACATGTGTTTTAGGTCCGATAGTAAGCTCGAACTAGTGTTGCGGAAGTCCTGGTTTGGTCCGGTTCAGCAACAAATTTTGCGAACACTGAACCGGACGCCATGAACGCAGTTCATGGTGTCCGGTTCACGTCCGGTTCAGCGTTCGAACATCGAAGCACATTGTAAATATACTCGATTGTACTATAGCTAGTAGTAAGGAGTACTGGTACACTACTGTGAAGCAGGCTCGGAGGGGGTGATGCCGTCGATATCTGTCTCATGATCCATGTCAGTAGCTGCATCCGTAGTTACCCCGTTATCCTGGTCTCCTTCACAGTCACTTTCCCCCTCAGAGCCCTCACTCGTGACCACTGACCTGCTAGCCTTGCTGTTTGCGCAAGACAGCATTGTTGGGGTCAACAAGCTTGGGTGCAGGGCAGTGGGATACGAGTTGAGCGATGTGCCTGAGCGGGAAGCACAGGCAGTGGAGTATCGTCGTCGGGATCGTTGTACCATCGGATTTGACTGGCGTCAAGGAGAGTTCCATCTGCACCCAGACCACACTGGTCAGCCATGTTGTGAGGGGGAAAGCTTGAAGAGAGTTGAGCTTACCTTGAATTTGATCCATTTTAACTTCCATCGAGTTCATGAGTGCCGAACAATTCATGTAGCTACCCTAGAAAAAAAACGACCCGTTAACAAATACATTAGCACTAAACCAAATTAACCAAAGTCTCCATACCTTATCAGGTTCTTCCTTTGTAATGTTTGGGTTAGTGGTAGGCAAACAAACCTTCACGGACCTTGCCAGTGTGGCATGGTCCTTGTGAATCGGATTCCAAGCGAAAAAGTTGCGAGTAATCATGTCATGTTCAGTGTATTGCGTGTGTGGGTGATGTCATCTCGTATGTGTGAGTAGCCTAAAATGGAAGCAGTTCAAAAAGGTTCGGACGCGTTCGGACGCGTTCAACGCGTTCAAGGAATGCTGAACGCTGGACTGGACCATCGGTCCAGTTCAGCCTATACTCTGAACGTTGAACTGGACCGTGGTCCAGTCCACGAAAGGTCCGGTTCGAACCGCGGTTCAGAACCGAACCTCCGCATCACTAGCTCGAACATGAAACCCGACAAAAAAACCAACATCCCTAAGATAAGACGGTGCATGCTGGAGGACGGAGGACATCCCCTCGTGTCACTGATCAAAAACAATTTTGAGCACCTGGAACGATCTGAAAATGCTCGAATTACTACTACCATGAATATGGAAGTTCACTCGCTTGCACTTTTCTCCACCGGATGTGTCGTATACTTGTTGTTACTGGTATGCAGATAACCAATCCGGTAGAACTGAATCCACAGTTCTGCCCAGCATTCGGCGATGCGAGCGCATGGGAAGGTTTGGCTGTACCTGACACTGATCGTGCATAAAAAGCCAACCTACGCTGCCCAGAATTCACCATCAACATTCAGCTATGAGATTCACTTCACTCACCACTATTGTCATATCTGCGGCAGCGATCGCTGGCATAGCTATCGCGTCTGATTCAGATGCGTCTATCGGCGCACGCTGCGACCCCGGTAATGAGCACTTTTGCGGTTTGCATGCAGACCGTGTACTTACGGTTATACACAGATACAGAGGGGTGCCGCATAGCAGAGGAGGAAGATTATAGCATCAGGAACGAAGCCCGTATAATCTGCAGTGGAGATCCAAATTGTTAATGCTGCATACTTAGCATGTTGTGCGCAAGAGGGGCCGAGGGCGTGGAGGAAGGAGCACTGTGCCAGAGCTCGTATCTGATCCAGTGTATTTTTGCTATGTAAAGAGTTGTGTGCGAAAACATGATGACTACATTGCGAGAGTATCAAGGTTAACGAGAATTGTACACCAGGATAGAGACCTCGTGATCAATGGCAAAGCAGACGACAGCAATGCAACATGGTAGAACTACATACCAATACAAATGGAACCAATTCTTTGCTCGAGCTGCACTTTCTTCTCGGAATATGGGGAATGCTTGAGTGTCTGGATCGTTTTGTAAAGTCCGTGACAACACCATCCTTCAAGTTCTTGAAGGTATTCTCATAGAAAGCACCCAGACAATGTGTTTTGCGATAGCGTCGCCGACCTCCCACAGCGTGCCAACGATGCCGGCGGATCCTGAAATTTACAGTCCAGCTTCACGGCGAATGGCGAGACCCTCATTGTCGACGGCGGTATTCTATGCTGACAAGAAATCAAAATTTGGTACATGAAATGTTGTTCTCCTTGATATCAGGCTGTGTTACAAGAAATACTTTGTGGTACGGTTGGCCGTCGCAGCAGTGAGCTTTAGGAGAAGTTCGAGCTCGCTGCTGACAGAAAAGAGCCCGTCCTGCTCCTTGAATCAATGAATATGTGGTCGAAAATTGTATGACTGTAGATTGAGGGTGAGAATCACAAGAGAGCAGAAGACATGTGCATGATAGGGATAGCAGAGTACATATTGAGTGTGATGAGAAGGTGTACTCGAATAGGATGAGAGCGCTTTACATTAACAGGAGATGAATATTGGCGTATTTTATCATACAGGCCCTGGCTAGCTACTAATATTTATGTACAATGACGATGACTCGAAACAAAATGATTGAATGAAATGTGCATCATGGGAGTTGGTCAAGTTATCAGACCACTCTATTAGCATCGACATCCCACAAAACACATCTCCCATCAACCATTCTGACTGAATACTGCGGCTGGTGCCACAGCGGCACCCACACCCTCGCAGTGCACTTCCTCCCGCCTGCACCCCACTCACCGTATTTCGTGCCACCTGAGTCAAAAAAACAACATCAGCACCATGATCGATATCAGATAAAAAAAAACCTGAAAATTCACCAGCACTCGCAGCAGCCATAAGTGGCACCGAAACCATGGGTATGCCAGCAAGCATGTCGCTGGCAAACATTGCACCTGCTGAAACTACCGAAGCAGTACCAGCAGCGCAAGCGCCTCCGATGGTTGCAAACATCTCCATTGATTCGTCATGGCTGAACTCGCGACTCCCCGTGACAGAGCGTGCCTCAAAGTGAAGCGGGAGGCTGGCTAGGTGCGTGGTCCAACGTTCTCCGGGTTTGAGGTGATTTTTCCAACTGGTAGGGACGCCTATGAAGAAAGCAACATGGATGTCTTCGCTGAGGTCGTTAATTACTGTTACGTCAGGCATCTTGGGGCATATATGCTCAGTACTGGGAACAACAGAAATGAAGGTAAGTACTATTTATATTACAATACAGACGGAGATTCAAACGATTTTTAATTTCATGTTTAAAGGAAAGCCCCTCAACGTTGTTCAAATCAGCAGAGAGTAAGTGCTTTGTGCATATGCTGGGACTCCGACTTGACTCCGACCTTGTTTATCTAACTTCAAGGCAAGGCCCACCCACTGCTAAAATGGACCTCAAGGATAGAGCCGGAGAGACATTGACGACATGACCAGTACCCAGCTGCGAGTATCTGAAGAGTAAAGGGTATACGGGGTATGTATGTGAGCTCACAACCTTGAATGAGCTACTGCACGGTACTGGTTGGTTGGTTGGTTATGAGCGACTGAGAGAATAGGAGAGCAAGTGTCAATATATATTGGCTGCCATAACTTCAGGTCATTAGGATTAGTATAGGAGAATCAACGTACTTCACACTCTGAGATCTAGCTGCTTTCCATGCGACGGTTAAAACTTGAGAATTAAGTGCATTCCTACCCAAGGCACGAGTAGGTGGGGTGCAGTTCCTTGTGTTCCTGATCGATTAACGCATTCTGGGTTGGCTTACGGGATAACGATTCTCGTAGATGTAGACAGAGCCACTGGCAGCGGCAACTTCAAGCTTACACCGCGTTCAAGAACGCCCGCCCGCACAACAAAAAGTGTCAGTACTGTTGTTCCATTGACGATATATTCTTTCAGCTATAGGATAGCAGGTAGGTCAAAGTTGTTCGCTGGAACCATGAATAAGTGAACATCATGTCATGTAAAACGACCCACTTGGTTCGTCGAGTAGGAGGATGTCTGTGCCAACAAGTAGCGCTTTTGCAATCTGCACCCGCCATCCTCTGCTCGATGTCTGTACCTGACATCTATTTGAGCCTCCCCAAACCCAAGCCTTTGCAGGATCTTCTTCGCCTTTGCTTTTCCGCGCACCGAAATTGATCAGCGGGAATTTATCAAAGACGTCTGCAATGAGTTCTGTCGCCATGTCAGATGAGATGTAGACCTGTGGATTCTGGCTCTTCAGTGCAGCAAACTTACTTTCTATTGCGAGCTGCGCCTGACGGGCGTCATGTCCGCGTGTGCCAAAGCGTTTCTGCGCGACTTGTTGTGCGGTGATCACACGGGTCTTCATTTGAGAAATGAGAATGCTATGAAGCGGAGTATTCAGCTGGGCCGCCAGTGCTTGGTGAAGTAGGCTGAGGTGCATCTCCAAGTATTGCGTGCAAGACTACGAAATTTTTTAGCTAGTGCAAATAGATGAGGAGACAATTTACCTTCATATTCGTACATGCCTTGTCTTCTTCAAATACTTCATTCGACACAATAGTGGTTTCGTCAAAGGTCTCAGGCTGCGCGATGTAAAGGATATTGATATATCATCCGCCACGCATCTCACCAACACTGCGTTGTCGACATAAGCACATTCATACACTACAAAAAATGAGTGCTGACTCGTCTTTGCAACAACATTCTGCCCCACGAGACCATATCGTACGCCATCAGATGCGCATCGACGATCAGATCGGGGTTATTGACGCTAATGTTGACAGTATGCATGGCAATGTCATAAGAGGATGTCTCAAGAATTTTGCCATGAAATCGGCTCTGCTTCTGTGGGCTGCAATGGGGAGACAGCGACAGCAGCCTTCTTTTAAGCGCGTTTCATGCAACGGGTCTTGATAGACGACATGAGTTTCGGTTGGTATGAAGGCGGAGCATTATCCACCAAAGGGCCAGACGCTGATACTGATGTCGAAGTCCTTCACTCATATGACAAACACGAAACAAGAAAGTAAAGTCTGAACGCAAACCCTGAAGGTGTCTTTACATTTCCCTTGCCAAGGGTCGTACAAAAGTGGTTGGTCCTTTCAGGGTTCACCTCAGCCTCACATCTCTGTGGCGTCTTGTATGTCCTTGGCCTTATCGGACATCACGGCCAGCATGGATGTGACGTGATTGAGCGCACTGGGCTCCACGGAGATCTGAAAGTTATCGTTGCCGGATGAATTTGAGGTCATGTTGTGGCTTGACTCGCAGTTATTTTCTTGATGGGTTATGTTGTTTGGTGACGACTCACATCTAGAGTGCTATTCCAGGGTACGTACTATTAATAGCGTGGCATGAATCAAACACTTCCGGCAAGTTCCAGTTACCGCAAAGGGCCTCTCAGACACTTGTCACCCATCAAACTCCACTTGGTACATAACGCCAGTGGCAGACACTGGACGTACGCTTCTGCAGCATGGAGTAGCTGGGGTACGCACTTGACCCAATGCAGTACTTTCCACGTAATAATCAATCAGAAGGAACACGCCGCTCCGCCAATGAGCCGGTCTGGCAGCGACCACCTCATTGGAACCTCGAGTTCACATATAATGGACACTTCATGATCTTCTGCCCGACTCATTTTCTCTCACAACCATGATACCATGTCAGGATAATGAGGAGACTTCCCTTCTCCCACAGCCAGAGCGGCCGATAGTAGCCAAGACACCTCTGCCTTGGGATCAGTTCTGGATCATATTGGCTTTGAATTTTTCGCAATCGCTTGTTTTCAAGACCCTTGCCCCGTTCACCCCCCAAGTGAGTACATGCTGTCTTCTGCGTGGCGTCGAAGATGGGCCAAACGGAATTTTGTAAAGTTAATCAGAGACATTGGCGTGACCAACGGAGACGAACAACGGGTTGGATACTACGTCAGCTTCCTGGTGAGCTGGTTATATCCTTCGATGGCCTCTGTCCCTTCCTGATGTCGTCTCGAGCACTTATCATACTATGTCCCTCAAACGCTGGCTGTACTCTATTGGAGTCGACTGTCTGATCGCATTGGGCGGAAGCCTGTGTTACTCACTAGTTCATTCATAATAGCGACTACGATGTTGTCGTTTGGACTGTCAAGAACCTTTCCCGGTCTGCTAGTCAGGTTTGCATCTCAGATCCATGGTCATCAACCACTTGATTACTGATATCCTGATTAGTCGTGTTATCGCTGGGGCATTCAATGGGGAAGCTGGCGTCCTGAAAAGTATGATGATGGACATTACTGACGCAACAAACTTGCCAAAGGCATACGGATACATGCCAATCTCAGCAATGTTAGCTTCCATCATTGGGTAGGTACATTCGGTATCTCTGCTTGCTCTTGATGTATTATGATTGACAATATCCTAGGCCACTTGTTGGCGGATCACTCTCCCGACCAGCAGACAGATTCCCTGAAATCTTCGGTCGATTCGAACTCCTGAAAACCTATCCATACCTTTTAGCATGCGCTGTTCCAGCTCTGTGTGCTTCTATTCTTTGGATAATCATGTATATCCGTCTCAAAGAGGTTGGCGTGATTTAGAAAGCTGTATTTGGATCGTACTGACTGCGGTAACAAGAGTGTTTCGATCAAGGCACCGCCGTTGGAGATGATGAAACAGTGGCTATCGCGACAGTCGTATACAAAGCGTTCTGCGCTATCAGGCGATGGTCTTATCAGTTCCTGGGAAGCAAACTCTGAAGAGGTCCCATCAAAGTCGCTTCGTTCTATGCTAACTCCAAAAGTCCTGATCGTAGCAGTAAGTTCTAGCACGTGGACCCTTTTTGTTGTCGCGATCAACAAGCTCCAACCACTTTTCTATGCGACGCCGATTGAACTCGGTGGTGTTTCCCTGGACCCTACCCGCATTGGCGTTATATTCGCGACAGCAGGTTTCGCCAGTGGCATATTCCAGTTCCTTTTCTATGCTCGCTTACACGATCGCTTGGGCGCACGAACCATGTATATGGGTGGTCTCAGCTCCAGCATACCTATTATCCTTCTATTCCCGGTGATCAATGCTCTGGCTCGAGCCTATGGAATGTGTTTTGTCGTGTGGTTGGCCATTGGCGTTCAACATGTGCTGATAATTATCTTGGAAATGTGTCCCTGTATGTCAACCCAGCATTTCCTGTGTTGTGCTTGATTGAGATGCATCCTTAGTTTGTATGGCAATGTTTATTAGAGCAGCCGCCCCCAATCGCTCCTCGATTGGAGCAACAAATGGCATTGTCCAGTTGGTTAGTGGAGCGGCGAGGATCATTGCACCACTGTCTGCAGCGGTCTTTTCTTATTCGATGCAGGAAGGTCGTGATGCGTGGTTGGCATACTATTTCTACATGGCACTTGCATTTCTCGCTATTGGTACTTCTTTAGCCCTGCCTCGTGACCCTAGTCTATGGGAAGAGCGGAATTAGCATGCCCGTCAGCGATATTCACTTGTTTAGACGATGTGTTCTCTGTCGCAGAGACAATCATATTCTTTCTTGGAGCATTCTGCACTTTCAAGCAAGGTGCTTAGCAATGCTGACGGTATGTACAATATCTTCATCTCCCACCATTATCATCAATCCTAATGTGCACGACGGCAGCTCTTTCAACTGACTCAGTCTGAGTCATAGCCGGACCGGGAATCTTATCACAGTTATTGCCATGTGACATACAAGTTGGCGATGATGGCAACGAGGGATTCCCCAAAGTCCGGTCAGTGGCGTCTAGGCGCTAAGATAGCGTGGGTGTGTGGAAATCTACTCGTTCCTGTGCAAACGTATAGGACTTTACGTCCAATCAAATGTGGCCCTCGGGCACCTCTCTAAATTTATGACATCATTTGTACCAATCCGTGCGCAGCTGGCTTTATGTCAGTTCGTCGCCATCGCAGCATGCGGACTGTGGGATCATTTAATCTTACTCCGCAGTCCTTCATATATCTCTGACGGCCTCGCTGTGGTGGTGAAATTGCTAGTGAGTTAAAGAAAACACTTGACTTTGGGAGAGCTCGTCAATTGAGTTTTCCCCTGACCTGGCCGTGGCTTTTATCGTCCACTAAAAGTATCCGTCAGATATATTTTTAACAATCTGTCAATGCGTCCAACAGATCTGAGCTGCCAGATCTGCGCCATTGAATGTACGTCATATCCATTTCACTTGACTTTACCGTAATACTCATTATAATATATCTGGTTGTTTTGGCTACTTTACTCCGCCGCAGTACTGATCACTTGGGCACCTTCAAAGAACTGTATATCTCACACTAATTTAAAGAAAACATTGTCACTGGCAATACTTGGTAACCCGACTCGGACTCCTGTTCTCCGAGCGTCTTGGAATATACATGACTATGTAGCGCTCTTCCGAAGTGCTGGTTCGTTGTGAAGGTTATCTGATCACTTCAGGTCATATCACCAGTGCATCGTTGGGTTCAAAAAGATGCGACGTAATGTGATGTGGTTTCCCCTCAACTCGAGGGCAAACCTCGGCATTCGTCATCAGGAAAACCATAACGTAGGAGATACTCTGTCCATATATTATACTTGTGTAGGCTTTACTCGAGTCGGAGACGAACCGGCCTTGAGAGCTCCATAACTTTGCTCTCGAAGGAACTCGAACGGCATGCACGCTGTTGGTCTTGCTTGGCTTTACCCGGCTGAGAAATTACGCTTAAGAGAGATGTCAACTGCACACCTAGACATCGCTCCATCGAGGCCTTGGAGTGACTGTCCTCAGCAGTCACTCAAAAGAAAATTGGTGACGCTGACGTTAGCTGAAAAATCCGTTGACTGCTGTCTGACAAAACTAACTCAACTTGTCAGCCATCGGGCAAGTCATGTAATTACAAGGAATATCCTCTTCATCTTCTTCTAGCAACCTGTGAGAGTCCATAATCGTAAATTGGTCTTTATTCGATTTTCTCAAGGGACAAAATTGTGATCGAGCCATCGTTATTCACCTGGTCTGGAAAAACTGATTATGACTGGTCCACGGAAAAATCTTGCAAAGGAAGAGTCGAAGAACTTGACAAAACTCCAGGGTAACCGATGCTTCGCACAGACGTGGCGGGAATAAATTCAATAGAACGTGAAAACCGATATTCCTGGAGTAAGATGGCGCACGGTGGACGCCCCCTCGTGTCACCAAACATCGACAATTTTGAGCACCTAGAAAGAGTTCAGAAGAGCTCGAATTGCTACGTGGAAGCTCACTCTTTCTCCACCGGATGTTTCGGAAACTTGCTGTCATGCAGGTGACAAATCCAGCAGAACCGACTCCAAATAGTTCTACACCGGATATTTCGAAAACTTCTATCGTGCAGGTGACCAATCAGGCAGAATTGACCGCCAAGTTCTGCACCCTACACTAGTGACCGTCGATGCAAGCACATAAAACCATTTGGGTGTACGTGACACTGATCATGTATAAAATGTCACCTACGCGGCCCAAAAAATACCATCAAGATGAAATTGACCTCACTCACCATATCTGCAGCAGCGATGGCTGGCATAGCTATTGCATCTGATTCAGATACACCCATAGGCAGATACTGTAACCCTATTAGTGAGCACTTTGGTGGCTTTTGTGCAGACCATGTGTTTACAGGGATCCAGATTCACTAGGGTGCTCGCAAGGCCTGGGCGATTATAACAACGGGAACGATTTTGGCTTTATGTGCGGACCAAATTTTACAATTATATCAACTACACCGTGTTCCTGCTCAGCCTGCTGTAGAGTGGACAATAACATGATCCGTTGTGGAAATTAAGTAAGCTTTATCTTGCCCTGCTGCTTTTCGAGCCTAAATGTTGATGTTGTTCACTTAGCATGTTGAGCGCGAGAGGGCGTGAAGGAGTGCTATGTAGACCATGGTCAAATTATGTAGTGTTGAATGATTTTTTTCAAATTCACAGGCATTGCATGACCCGGGTATGTACTCACTAATCGAAAAATTGGTGTACTCGGCTCGAATCCCGAAAGGTTGAGAAATCATTATAGTGCGAACATCGGACTGGCGGTTCGGTGCCCATCCGAGTCTCAGCAGACCAAAGAACTTCTCTAGATGGCGTCCATCTATGGATTATTCAAATTGACCCATAAATCATGTGCATGAAGGCGACAGTTGCGCACGAATGGCCGCATTACTGCAGTAGGTTCCACGGGCTAGAAGATTCAGGGTGAGCTGGCATCTATTCCATTCCCAAGCAATATGCTGTTGGCAGAACTCAGGAGTTTTGCCAAGAGTAAGACGGAGAACGCTCCACCGTGGGTCAATCTCACGGGATGTCGTAAACTTGCCATGCAGGTGACAAATGGCCTCGCAGCAAGTAGTTCTGCCCCCTATACTATCATCCGGCGATGCAAGCACATGTAAGCATTTGGTTTCACCTGTCGGTGGGGACAGGACCCACGCAAAAATGTCATATATATCGGTGTGGTTTTCTGTCGTATCGCTTTCATTCTCATTTTCATTTACAAATATAATATACTATGTGGCATGAGGCATACAGGAATGAGTTGTACATGTGAAAGTTACAAGTAAAGAATGAATGTTCGGGCCACTACGTATCAAAGTAATATCTTTGAAAAATACTTCTTCACGCCTCCTGCACCATGAACTATCGCCCCAATCACTCCATCCGGCCGTATCACAAACACCTTTGTCTGGCCAGCTTCCACGAGATAAGCCGAATAAGCATGGCCCTCTCGATCAACAAGAACGAGGTCAGGAGATACGACAGGCATCACTGATGCGGATGATGGCAGAACGACCGCCGATCGTACGATACTTTTGTCGTATGTCTCCAGTGCACCCAAGATCGGGGTTGCATCAGCAAGACTCGGCGCAAATACAAGCATTGTGTGGTACCAGGGTCTGTACAAACAAAAAAGTGTCGTCGCATCAGGCTCTGCCCGCCCCACCTGGACCATATTGGGCGCATCAGGCGCCCTATCCCCAGCCTCCAGATTTTTCTCGTCAAGCACTCCGTATGCATTGATAGGCTTCACTGAAGCCACAAATTCATCGAGTACGATGGTACTGAATCGGCAGTTGATGCCGAGCATATAAAGGATGGGACTTCGCCTAACCGATATGTCTCCGGACGTCAATGCGCTGTCGAGAATCGAGGTGGTCACCTCAAGCATCTCTGAGATCACAGGCAGACGCTCGGCGCTGTATGTCTCGAGAAGATATTTGTCGGCGAACCCTTTCTGGACGAGTGCAAGCTTCCATCCTAGATTAAACTGGTGTATGGCGCAGTCAGTTATAACACACATGCTACATCTACCTAACTCACTGCATCTTGTACACCTGAATTGAGTCCCTGTTCATAGACAAATGAGCGATTATTAGCAATATAATTGAACCAATCATACCTGACCACCCGTTGGGGAGTGGATACTTGAATACATGTTAGCAACAATTTGCGAAAAGGCGTTTAAAGATAGACATACTGAGCAGCATCTACAATGACATGCATCAGCATTGCCACACACATCTCGAACAGAACCACGTACCGCCCGCAACGAACACTCGACCCTCGCCAAACTTATTCACCATCCGAATATTGGCCCTAGAACAAACTGATGAACGTGCATTGATACGGACAAAAACACAAAGCGCACCGGTAGTCGCTCATCCAAACCATCTTGTTGAATGTGATCTTAGTTGGAATTAGCGACGCAATGGCCTCGAAGATAAGCTCTTCGCTCTGAGCGATCTTCGTTAGATCGAATTCACGGCCGAAAAGGGAAAATTGCCAGCCGTCCTCGGCAATCTCGTCTGTTGGACGCAGTGAGACACTGCATATCGTCAATATACATGTCTCCAAGCCTTCAGTAAACATACCCTCGCTCAAGAAAGTTTCCAAATCGGTGCCAGTGCTTCAAGACTGGATTAAGACAGCTTTTGACCGAATCTGTAGAAACCGGACGTACCACTCTATCGAGCCCAACGCCCGTCAAACGGATATCTCCAGTTACAATCCGGGTATCGTCTCTAGTCTCACCCAAAAATGTGAGCCCAAGTTGCTTGCGGACGATGCCTGCAAAGCCACTTTCAGTCTCGTTCATCCTGGTGCATTGAAACTGCGCCTTACCTTTAGCACCATCAGCGCCAATGATCCACTTGGTATTAAAGGTCTCTGATATGCCGTTCTTTGCTAGAATAGCAGTGACGCCCTCATCGGACTGTTCGAATGAGAGCAATTCGGTGCCCATCTCAACAGAACAAGAGAACTTCTCTAGGTGGCGTCGCAGAATCACATCTAAAAGTTGTTGACCCATCATTCTGGGAGCATGCTAAAATAGAATTAACATGAAGGTTTAATCATGCAATAGTGTTACGCACGAATGGTATTGCTGGGGTAATTTCCACATGCGGGACCATCGATGAGTCTTTCACAGGTTCCAACGTCCCGGGCTTGTATGAACGGAGGAGAGGGGCTGCTTTCCCCAGACTATTAACTTCTGAAACGTCCAAGAAGTTGTAGAGTTCGAGGGAGCGTGGCTATATAGAGCATGTAGTTAATGAGATCATGTACCTGACAAGTGGGTGTGCAACAAACCCATATTCCGGAACCACGCTGTCCGATGCGAGGGTGAGGATCTTTATCGATGATTCGAACTGAGATATCGTTTTGGAGAAGCGTCAACGCTGCTACCAGACCCACTGGCCCAGCACCAACCTGATGGCAAAGAATTCAGCCGAGGTGAAAAACCAACACGTGTGATGAGCAGGTCACTTACGACTAACACGGGAGGATGAACAGAATGCATATATAGCGCTCGAGACACTGACAAAAGTATTAGTTGATTTGAATTCCAAGGATTTGGATTAGCAGGTCCCTTATAACATGGGGACGGGACCGAGCGCTGCGGTAATGACGCTGCGGCTGAGCCGTGTATGCCAGCATATCCTTACAAAACAACTTACCGATTGACGACGATTCGAGTCAGTCAATATGACTCTTCAAGTTACTCTCGTAGACACGGTACTCATGCAATCACTCCTCTCCTCATGCACGTCTACTTTCGATTAATCACGATTCTCCGTCAGGCTCAATCATATCCGGGCCATCAGATGATTTGTCAAAACGCTCACGAGATAATTCATGATGCTGACTGCACGGCCCGCTTATGATCTGTTCGAGCCTATAGCGTTGTATAAAATTGACAGTAAAAGTTTACGCTCACCAAATACATACAATTGAACACGGAGGCTCGGGGCAAAACTCAGGGCAGAACAAAAGTGGTTGAAAATTGCCGGGTGGGCTATGACAATGTCTTACGAAACCCCTAGTAATGATGATGACTCATTCCATCGTCGCCATTGTCTTAGTTAATACCTCAACCTCGTCTCTGTTGACCCTACTCATCAAAATCAAAAGCGATTCCCTCCAGCACCGTTAATCATGCTGACCTCCTTTGAGCCGCGAGTGAACTTTTCATCCTCCACAGCTTTTATGGCACACGGTACGCCGTCGTGCAGATTTTCTTGTGCCAAGATCAGAGAATGTGCACTCTGCGGCAATGTCTGCATGCCATACAATGGAGATGATTGTCATGGCAAAGGCCTTGACTGGGCTGTTCTGCACCATCTTGCTTTAGGATATTTCTATGTTCCATCGAATCTGAACTATATGTTATTAGATCAGGGTACATCTCCGCGAGTCTGGAGAATAATTACGCTCCTTCCCTTATTTTCATTTTTCTTCTGACCCATGTGGTTGACAACTCCGAGCTACTTCTAGACCACTATTCCTGCGCTCCGCTCAGAAACGGCCAAGATCCAAGAAAGCTCAGCGGCAGTGGCCAGTATTAATAATTGAATCATGAAAAACTGTTCGTTCATTTGCCTCAACGATTATCCTTCCTGCGATCTCTGCGGCCCACTGGCTATCACCAACTTGGTGCGCCTTGCTGTAAAACTTTCTCCCGGTGTAGCTCCAGCCCCACTAACGAGCGTCAAGAACAGGTATAAAATCAATGCAGTTGTGTCGAAAAAGTCTCAGAAGAACGACTCCTCTTGCGGTAAGCAGTCCTCTTGTGTTACACTATGTGCATTTCATTGAACGAACATATGATAGCTTTTCTAATACTTTGTAATAGCAAATTTGCGCGCCTCACAGAATCAAACTTTCCGTCGGTATGTGGTTTTCCTAGCACGGTCACATCTTAGGCTGATAGATAGTTATATCAGATACTATGAAACTCGTTCAAATCGTTTGCCTCGTAGTCCTTGCTGCTTCCGGTGCTGCCGCTGCCACGGGGGTGGACACAACAGCACCTCCTAATGCAAATTGTAAGGCGAGCGAATGCGCTTTCTATTCACAATATTTGCATTGCAGTTTTGGGTGGTGGCCTTACCAGATTTCCGCTAATTGCTGGGTGTGCTGTCAATCAAAGTAGATAAGCATTTTTTTGCTCCCAATACAAACAAAATTTCAGGGACGCGTGTTTTCTCACTATAAAACTTTCTCCCGGTACAGTTAAGGACCGGTCCTTTACCCACCACATTTTGAAATGCATCCCACTTCATTCAACTCATTTTTTCGAAAATCGTAGTAAACAGTAATATTCTAATGTACATGTAAATACTATGATAAAATTTTGAGAGCTATTGATGACAGTGTTGGTATGCTGTAGCAAGATCATTGAAAACAGTATTATCTTTGACTTCACCAGTCCTTTACCCACCTCGTCACATCACTCAACGCTGTAAATTTGAATTGTAGTCTTGGTACCGACCGCCATTAATCTCACCTACTCTGCTGTCCACCATCTCCGAAGATAGGGTGCAGTTAGATATAGGGAGGGAAAGGTTAGTAAGGCCCACATCATTGGCAATAGTGGTCCGTGCATCCAGCAGATAGATTCCGTCTTCCGCAGATGCGGTATTTCCACCAAATGTGAACACATTGACTTGAACATCTCCCTGGCAGTTCTGGAGTTGCAATGAAAGTGTCATAATTAATGCCAATAATTCTTTTTATTGATTTGATATCTTCTTCCATTCTGAAGACCAACGACGAGATGTCGCCGCCATAGTGGTGAGCAAGAAACAAAAAGGAAACAACACAACGCACTGAAAAGGAGACACGCACAACAAGCGTGACGTGGTGGACAACATGCCGGAGGTTATGTGTGCTTATATGTCCCAGCCGCACTAGGTCTAAAATTGTAACCCTCGTCAAAAGCCATCGTCGATGGCGACCAATATTCTCGTTGTTAGCTTTCTATACCGACTCATAAATTTCATATTCCTAACTCTACAGTATTTAAACCGTCCCTTAACTACTGGTAGAGTAGTTGATCTTTCCCCCACCGAAATATATACTTAGTTCGGACAGTTCTATTGTGTGAAGTGAGTCTATTATAGACTCTCTCGTGTGTATCGTTTTCTAAACGCCACAAAAATCAACGCAGTTGAGTTCGGAAAAGTTCAAAGTTCACAGACGAACGGCTCCTCTCGCGGTGAGCAGTCCTCTTGTCGTACACTCTATGTGCATTTCATTGAACGGACATATAATAGCTCTTCTGATACTTTGTAATAGCAAATTTGCGCACATCATACAATCAAACTTTCCATCGGCATGTGGTTTTCCTAGCACGGTCACATCATAGACTGATGCATAGTTATACCAGATACCATGAAACTCGTTGAAATCCTCGTGATCCTTGCTGCTTCTAGTGCTGCTGCCGCTGCCACTGGGGTGGACACAGCAGTACTTCCTCAGATAAGTTGCTGCGATCCATGCGCCTCCTCTCCACAATCTTTGGCATGCGAAACAAAAATAGGTTGGGCGCCCATGTGGTCGTCCGATAATTGTTGGAAGTGCTGTCGCGATTTTAGTTGAACATCTTGGTTATTTTTGCTCCTAATACAAACAAAATGTGACATGTACCGTTTTCTCAAAAGATCGAATACTTAGCACGGATAAGATCACTCGGTGAAACACAAACAGAGATGCACAGTCGGCTCTCTTTTGACCGGTGTCCCTGACAAGCTCTGAGAACTCTGATGTGTGGAACGCCCCTGTGGATGATTGACAATGTGTCATAAGCAAGAGGTAGATGATCAACCTCAGGTTCTCCCTCTGCAGAAAGTTTGTCCGTCATCATCAACAGTACATCGACTGGCGGTAAGGGAAGCACATGATGCATATGCAAAGAACTGCCATCATTTGGATTTATAACTCTTGTCATGAACCGTTATTCGGCTGCGGCACTAACACCACAGTCGGCAGGTAGCAACCACTTTGAATAGCACACATGATGAATTCGACACTGGTACTGCAATCATTACTTGTCACTGGAACCTATGGCACTACTCACAAAAAGTATCGCCGAGGTAAATGTCCCAGCTAATCAATGATACTCACTTAGTGAACAAGTCCGCAAGATAAATCGTTGCATGCAGGACGCTTATTTTGTTAGACATCCAAAAATACACGTGTGATATTGCACCAAACTCCAGAAGTGAGTCGTGCGCACAATGAACAAACGGCAGTGTGTTCATCGTGAAAATGGCAAATTGATTGTTGCGCAACACCAGTACTGCCTAGCTCCTCTCCTCCCATCGCTCATAGTCATTCGTAGCAAGACTTGCGTGATACTTTTTTTCGACGGTCTCACATACGGCATCAAGATTTGTCAGTGCTTCAAGGAGCGCATTCAAGGACGAGAGTCCATCTGAAAATAATGGGATCAGGCACCTGGAGGGAAATCGTGGATAAATGAGAATATTGCATACCATACATCTGTATTCGTAGCTGAATGAGGTTTTCGGAAGGATGGGGCACGCTGCAAGCGTCAGCAGATCAGCGAATCGAAGCACGTTATCATAAATGAAGCAAGTGTCATGCTACCGCATCTCAGCGTCTCTTCGCGATGACCATGTCCGGATAACATCGACCAGCTGAACGAAGCAACACCAGGAGAATAAAGCAAAATCGTAGACCGCAAACAACAAGTCGACACCATTCACTAACCTATATCCACAAAACTCCACCTTCGGGCTTCCGTCACCATCATCAACTCAACGTTCATCAAACAAAAAAACACAACATACTTTTTCATGATCATCCACCGTAGAGCATTTCCAATCGTATGCGACTCGTCGAAAATTTGGAATGTAGCTGCAGATAGGTCTGGCGTGGCACCCGCCATCTGAAAAAGTTTCAGGGTTTTTGTGTCCGAGTTATAGCTCATGCACGCACAATCTTGATTTTTGGGGTCGTCTCTGCCATGGTTGGTGAAGAATGATGGGGTCGATGAAGGGTCAATATTAATGACAATATTAATTAAATGAGTCCCTGGCCTCCATGGGTATTTTCTGGGATTGACTGCCAGAATTATTCGTTGCCCGCTTAGCTCAGTGGTAGAGCGCGTCACTCGTAATGATGAGGTCGGTTGTTCAATCCAGCCAGCGGGCATGTCGGCTTTTTCCACTGTTAGCCTTTGCTACAAACGATTCAGCTAACCAGACGTAGTCGTCATCGTCATCGTAGAAAAAACCAAGGAGATATGGTATAGTTGTACAGAATGCAAAATACAAGAGTTGAAAGCATGCTAATGCTAAACACAATTCCACTTTTAAATTAACCTACGGCTCCTCGAACACGTACAACCCGTCCAGCTCGCCACCGTTCACTAGGCCCGTTCGCAGACAGCTAAAATCCCCATCCCCAGCGTCTACAAAGCCCTTCCTGCTATATCCGTCTGCGTGATCCACCTCAGGAGGTGAGACGCTCAGTGCGCGAGGTGCTGAGTGGGAGCCCGGGGAGGACTCCTCAACTCGCAGTCGCTTTTGTAGGGAATCACCCCGAGACAGAGAATCATTGCCAACATCCAGCTCTTCTGAGGAGCGTTTTCGTTGACGGGGCGTAGAGATCGGCGCCACAGACTCTCCGCGCCGCGCTCGGTCATCAACAGGACGATCCGAGTCTGTCCGAGGACGCTTCGGCGGAGTCGAGGTACGAGGGACCTCGATGGGATCACCAGCAGCAGCGTTCTCTGCCTCGAGGTCTCCAGAAGAGCGTTTCCGGGGTGTGACAGTGTGCGTCTGGGAACGTGGGTTCGCGAGCTCATACTGCTCCTCTTCACTCTCTTCTTCCTCGTCCTCATACAGCTCTTCTTCTTCTGGCTCCTCTTCCTCTTCCTCCTTCACCACCTTGCTTCTGGGAACACGTACCTCTTCTAGTACTATTTCGCTTAGGTTCTCATATTCTGGCGGTGGCTGCGGTTGAGGCTGTGGTACTCGGGTTTGGGATTCATTTTGAGGCGCAGACCGCACCTGAGGAGTGACAGGGTTACCAGCTGCCACATTTGCCTTGATCATAGCACGTTCGCAGACAGAACATCGGCAGTGATACAGTGGTGCACATGCTTCGCGCCATACCTAATTGTAGCTGGTTCGGACGAGGTAGCATCGCGGTACAGAATGAAACTCACCGATTTGAATGCTTCGAGACTGTACTGTGCCATGTGGGCCAGCGTAACAGGTACATAGGGGATAGGATGTAAAAGCTTGGGTGATTCTAACACCGGTGACACGGGGATGGGGATGACAACTTGTGGTGGTTTCGGCCTTGCTGTTGCCGTTGTCGTTACAGACTCATGCTCCTTCTCCTCAGGATGTGATGGTGGAGGGGATGGCGTGGTATGTAGTGTTGTCGTAGAAAGAACAGGGCTCGTCGTGTGCGATCCATCGCTTCTCGTCGACGCACTGGTGCTACTCAAAGAATCGTCCTCGCGCTTACCGCCAATGTCCAAGCCGCCAGCCGCCCAATCAACACCATCAAACCATATTCCAGGTGTGCGCAGCTCAGCAAGCACATCCTCAAGGTTCATCTTTGACGCGCGCACAGCAGGGTCTACCCAAGCACCTCCTATTCCATTCGCAGACTCGATAACGAGCCGCCGGACGATATTGTTCATCCCAGGCAAGAGGATCTGACGCAACTGTTTTGAAAAGGCACGGAAAGCCTGCTCACAAAGTCCGAACGACGGCGGTGCCTGAGAACGAACAGTAGAAAGACGTGGATGCGAGTCGTCCGTGGGTGAGGGAAGAGACGACGGAGACGATGGCCTTGAAAGTGTCCACGGGCAAGGATGTGTAGCGGGAACTCTGATGCGGCGGCGAGACTGTCCATTCTCAAGAGGCTCATCATCGTCAGTTTCCGACTCGTAGTCAGGTTCCTCGCCAGGATCTCTGACACCTCCACCAATTGGTCGAGCGTAACCATACCACTGGTCGGCAGGACTGCACCAGTGCCCATCAAGAATTCGTGTCCGTGCCCAGTCAGCAATAGCCAGATCGCGCACACCACCAGCATCTTCAGTCATCGAAAGTAAGTCGGGGTCATCTTCATCCTCCGAGCCTTCATAGTCTGAGGAGTACGCTGATCGCGGAGACGGTGAGCGCGACCGACGGGAAGGAGACAGACTGTTGACGGGACTATACGAGTCCCCTCCTTCTGTAGTCCGTGCACTATGATCTTGCTGTGGCGCTGGTACACTCTCTGGTTCGCGATGATGGTAAGAATTTTGCGAGAAGTCAGTCCCCATGCCTTCACTGGCCCAACGGGTAGCCGCGACAGCTTGCTCCATCAACTCCGGCATTTTCGTGTATGACCGTAGCCACAGCTTCTCGCGGGCAACGTTCAGAACCTCTGTGATTGAGCCTTCGCCCAGTTCGATGAAAGCATCAACTGTTTGACGCGTCTCCCAATCTGCTGATGCATATTTCCAGGGTGGAACACGTGCTAATGCAAGTTGTCGCGGGCTGGCGGGTGAGGAGCGTGATGAGGAGGATTGAACGAAACGTGGACCACCAATCGCCTCGCGGTCGCGAGCACTGGATTTGATTCGGTTCCAAAGCCCTTCTAAACGACATGACCGACACGTTGCATCAACCCCAGGCCAGGTTTCGTCATCTTCGTTTTCAGAACATAACACCATCAAGGCAGGATTGAGGGTGGTTGCATACGGGTTATAGCCGCCCAAGGCCAGATTAAAATTTCCATGGTTGTATAATTGGCTATAACCGCTGAGACGCATGTTACTCTGAACATCAAATTGGGGATCACATTCGGCGGCGGGAGCCTCACGGAGGCATACACCGCAAAATGCGGTTTTGCGATGCTCGCGACACACGGATATCACGCCCAGCCTTGAGGTAACATGTGTTCGTTTTGCGGCTCCGAGGCCAGCGGACGAACAAGGTGAATTGATGCGACAGATGATGCAGGAATGGTAGGTCATGGTGCGAAAATGGGTGTGAGGGGGTAGACGGTAAGGCTGTGGCGCGATAGTTGCAGCACCTGCAGCCCCATCTGCGGGGGCCTGAGGGCGTACGATTGCATATTGGTGGAGTATGTCATGAGGATCCAGGAGTGCGCATGCATGATTCCAAAATAGATGGGATTTGACTAGCACAATGAATTAGCGCGTTACGATGATAAGATAAAGCAGGTAAACACACGAGCAGTACACCAAGAAGGGGTGACGTTCATTAACTTCTCGAGTTCTATAGCCTGACATAAAGCCGCGTAGACCATTCTAGAGGGCCAAACCTCCCTGACTTCCCAAGTGACTGGACAGTATAGGTGCGTAGCGACATCCTTGAGATACAAAGATGCAATATGTCTGTCATGCAAGCGTGTTTAATTAGAAATAGCTGAAAATGCCATGCAGTGGCGTAGAAGTACCTGATGAGCTCTGGGGGGAGCTGTTGCCATGATCTGTTTGTATGTTTACCCTTGTAGATATGATCACCGGTTGAGTAGCTCGCAGTCGTAGCAGGCGACGTTGATAAGGCCATTGTGGATGTTGTGGACGACGTTGAAAGGGGTACCGACGCCGTAGACGGTGAAGGGGCCATTATCTGAGTATCCTGTGCGAAGTGGGACCTAGGCCTTGATTAGCGTATGGTAGACAGCCGGACTACAGATTCGATTTCGGGTCACCGTGACTCTCATGCTGAAAAGTCACACACTTCCTTTGGTTGGCACATTTCCCACGCACAGACCACCGCGTCGTACGTTTGTCTAATAATCCATTCAAACTACTTATCGAAATATTTCCTATACAAAGAGTTTGCGTAATTCTACACTAGCGGCGTGAAGTCTGTCCAATTTCTTCTGCAGCTCTATACGCCGCGAGGACACAGTGCTATGCTCCTGGATCATCAACTGACACCGCACGTGCGCATCGGGACCCGTCAAGCTCAACCCATCAAGAAGCGCCTGCTCTATGCCCTTATGCAGCCCGCGGACTATTTCATAGTCAATGGCCAACGGAACCATGTCAGCGAAGCGCTTGTAGGCAACTACAAAGGGGCTCCTTCAGTTTCAAATCCACATCTCCGTGCAAACACATACCCTGGAAGTACGCCCTTACCCCCGCCATGATTAGAAGGGCAGGCTCCATTGGATCCACGGGCAGCAACTTTGGAAGATCACTGGCCTGCACGGAAAGGCCAGCTTCGGTCAGTCCAGCAAGAGCCTTGTAGACGGCTTGTTGGAACGCTTGCCCATGGTTTGGGTGGGGCTGAATGTTGTTAGGCGCACGATAGTTCTGCAGCTTTGTGGTAAGCTCTCCGACATCTCGGCAACCCTTGTAATATCCGAGGAATTTGGTCTTGTAGTCAGCGTAATAGTGCACGTTTAAAGTCGTCGGTGCCTTCTCGAGTTCCAAGAGCCAACTGATCTTTTCCTTTGCTTGCTGTGCAGCGTTGTCAAGGTGCTCGTTCACTATCATCCTGCGAGAACAAGGGTGTCAGCATTAATGTATCAAATAGTGCGGGATGCACATACAACACGCTGTGAAGTGCGCCGCCCCTTCCCATTTTCCCAAAATGCTCGTTGACTAGAACGCTCAGGTCGTTCTTTAAAATGTCATACACTTTGTCGAAAAGTATTTGCGATGGTGTCTCCCATTTCTCAGTAAACTCCTTGATATATGTCTGTTGTACGATGAAAGGATAGTTGTCGGGAAGTTCGCGAGTACGAGCCCTAGGATCTAGTCAGTTTTTGTTACAGCACAAGAGTGAAACTCAAGAACCTCTGGGCATGATTGAGAACATCTTCAATGTAAATTTCCTCCGACTGCGGCGTGGGCGACCTCGGACTGGGCGCGGAAGGGACCATTCCTTGCGGCCCCTGTGGTTCATCCTCCTCGTTCGTCAGGAAATCTACCACAGGCAGTTGACGGGCGTCACCCTTTCCCCATGGAACAAATTGCGGGGCTGTTGATCTTACAGCACGTTTGAATGCCTGTTGGTGTGGTCGAATGGTTTGCAATATTCCGTCTTTATCAGGCGTCCCCTCGAGTCGTTGAAATAACTGCTTCGAAAATTGACCGATTATATTCCAAACCTCACCCACGGGATCGGTCGACGGTGCCTTCGGAAGCTGTCTCATTTCATCTTGAGTCTTGCGCAAAATATTGTATAATTCCTTGTGGATATCTGGAAGCCTATTACGTGCATATCAGCATCAGAAGGCGCCAAGATAAGAATTCCGACCTTTTCGCGATGAGTTCGGACAGAATCGTGCTCAGCCTCTCCGTCAGGTTGCTCGTTCTCATAAACTTCTGATACTGTGGCTCTACGGTTGACCAGGGCTGTGTCAAAGTAAAGAAGTCATTTTCTTGCTTCCTTGCTTCGGCCCAGGAGATCCCGTCTTTGAGCAACTGAGACCCAGGCTGCTTGACACAGTACCAGTGGTTCACGAGCGGCTCCTGCTCGTTTCGGATGAATTTTAGCCATGCGCTCTCTTCACCAGGAGGAATGCGGTCCGGCTTTGTGAGCACGCCTGCGACATAGCAGTTAATCATTGCTTTCGAGGGATTCATGAATACGCAGACATACCAACAGTGCGTTTGCCCTCTGGGTCAAATTGCTTCGTCAAGTGATGTGCGCCTTGATTCTCAAAGTCGGCTAGGAAAATACGAGATGTAAGGAAAGGTGACTGAGACGCTAAATCCACTTACTTTCACAAGTAACCGTCAGAAGAATGACACAACTGGGCTTCTCGATGTAAGATGTCACCAAACCCTTGACGAGATCAATATCCCCGGTCTTTCCTGTACTCCCGACGCTCGCGATGAGTCCAGGAAGGTCCACGAATGAAAGATCCGCCACATCCTTCCCACTTATCTCCAGAGAGACACAATTTTTAGAAAATGATAACTCAGCTTGCTCAGCGGTCTGATCTTCTAGCTCGTACAAAAACTTTTGTTCATTGATACTGGGATTGAGAATTGCCCTTTGAGCACGCCTGATTCGATCTTCTACGTCCGCCTTATCGGTGATGGGCGATCCAAAAGAAATGGTGGCCACATCACAGGGTTGACCCGACGGGCCGGTGGTAATGTGAAGTTTGACGAGACACTTCCAGGCGTCTTCCGAGCGTGAAAGTTTACATTCGGTTGGACATCTTCAATAGGGTTAGAGATGGCAATTCCAAAAACAAACCGGGCACGCGCTGACCTGGTGCACGTTCCAGCTGAGCGAGGGAGTGTGATACCAGAAATAGATTCGATAAGAGATGATTTGCCTGCACTCTGCGAGCCAATGACTGCGATCATGGGCAGGTCCATGTCCGTCTGTACACTAGAACGATATTGACTCAATCAGCCGAAGAATATGACAGAGTGAGGAAAAAACTAGCCCTGTCGTGTGGAGGCGATTGATGAGGTCAAGCATCTTTCGACGGTGCTGTGACAAAGTGGAGTCGGAGAGCCCAACACCATTGTTTTCAGGCGAGGTAAGGTCAACGCTGGGAGATGAGGTCAACATCTGAAAAAGTACGATGATCAGGGTCAAAAATTTGAATCCGTGGAGGAGGGTATGTATCAGTCTGTATCATGTGGACCTTTTATACAATTTTTCGGCGCCAGCAAGACAATCGGAATTAGGGACTAAATAACACGAAACAAAGAAGGCGAGTCGACGCCGGAAGGGATCCATGGAGTCACAAGCTGTGGACATACTTGCGATTGACTTCTAATGATAAGAAAGAGCAGCACTGGCTTGAATCGGCAAAATTGCCGTATAGATATGTCATGGGGTTAGAAACGAGGATCAACGACAACAAGCTCGAGGACAAGGGACTGCAAGAAGACAATAAACGACATCACTTTCGTGAAAGTGGTAACGAGGGTGAAATTATCGACATATCAACAATCAACCGCTTGCCCTTTACAATAGAATCACGATACACTCGCCTGCTGCCTGCACACATCGACAACGTAACCCCACACAGGTTCATGGTCAAAGAACACTGATGATGAGAGAAAGATCACAGGATTGTGTCCCACGCTCACTTACCGCATACAGTATGCACTAAATTTCTGTCCTCGATTAATATCATGATATCTCAAACGAACAGAAGCAGAAGTTGTCCCGCGCTGGGGCAGGAGGCCTGCTGCGGTCTAAACACCGCCGCTGGAAAGACGAAACGTCTGATCGACCTTTCTAATGCTGTTCAGCACTTTCCTGACTTCGCCTATTACTATATCTACAGGTAAGGAAATGGTTTGCGCACGACTGAGTGGCATCTGATCATGCCATCCTAGATGACCCTCTGATGGGGGTATTTACGAGAACGTTGTTGGGCATTTTTACCCTCAGAGCCATAAATAATCTCATATCGGTGCTTGTGTTCCACTGGAAATTCGCTTCGAAGGGCTGAAGGGCTGACCCATCGATCCCGTGCAGAGCATATAGCATAATTTTGACGATAAGGCATGAGGCGAGTACCCAATTCTTATTTCAATGACTGTCAGCCACATTTAGATCATACTCTTTCACAACTCGATCTGGAAAATTTATCAACTGCAAAACGGTACCAGCAAGGTACCAGGATACTATATTTGCGCGATGGACTCCATGAACGCTTCAAGTCGGACGATATGCAGCAGCGGCAACTAGTACCCTTTCATCCATCCCTGCCGTCAACATGATGGTATCATCTATTATTCACGTACGATATTCTCTGTTTACGGTCAGCTGCAAGCACAGAATTTCTAAAACGCGACCAATGGGGTCGAGCGCCTACTAATCAGATGTGACGCAGATGTGGTGCGAGATCGGTGTCAATGTGCCAGTTGTTTGTTACTGACCTCCTCGTAAAATTAGGCTCATGGCAGTTTAGCCCTCATATTGATAAGGGAAGCATCGAGCCCTAGTTCCGCCGAATCTTAGAAGGGGGGCGAGATAACATGACCCATGGTTTTGATGTGTCATGGTAGATATCCTGACGAAGTTCCGTGTATGACTCAATCTCACTGCGAAAAAAAAAACAGTACTGCTCAGCGAATACGTACGAGTATCCGATTCTTGAAAATAAATTCCCGACTACTGACTCGACGCTGACAGTTAAGGTCCAGTTTTGTCACAAGCAGTCGCGGAATTTGAGGATGCACTGTTCACTTCCAATTATTTCGAATATATGTCTCAACAATTCCAGCCGATGTCTTACAGGTGCTGTTGCGTATGCTACATGTACATCCATTTCGGATTATCATCTTGCGACTTTCTTACTGGGTGACTTCGAGTTGAGTTCGATCTTAACATGGTTTTCACACGCTTTGACTTGACTGTACTCTAGCGCTTTCCAAACATCAGTTGTAACGTGATACTCTCGACAATGTAGCCATTATCTTGTGGTTCTTCCTATTTTCCGTTTTTTTACGTCAGTGGTGATCACGTCAAATACTCGAGTTACGATCACTCTGTTTGGTGATAAATATAACTCGTACAGATGCCCGCAATGTGCCACGAGGTCAGTTTGGGAACTATGGCAAGTGCTCAATCGACGTGAAGATAGATTTTCTCTCATAAGTTTACCCGAGCATTCCTGGTCGCCTGATACTCAAGTGCAGTGAAATTCGCCCGGGAACGACTGAATCCAGTGGCTAACCATTCACTACAAGAGTTGTGCCCTTGAATGACTCTGTTTGCCAGTGCTTGTCATCGAGTCTGCTAAATTCTACGGTTCGTGTCACATTCGTATCATTGCTAGGATGGTCTTTGGTGATTACAAGTAGTACAGGACAAGGAGTACAATGAACAGGAAGTCTGTTATGGGCCACCGGGTCACAACTTGTGGTCCCAGCACAATGCGCTGTGTATATGACGCCACAACCGATGAGGAAAGTATTAAAGGCAGAGCTTCTCTTCTAAACCAGCTTAGCCCATCTTACTCTCCCATCATTGAACCCTGCTACTCCGCTTTCCATTGAGCGACCTTCCTCTTGAGATTGTTTCCATCATCTTCGAATATGCAGCCCAGCCGAACATTTTCCCCAAAAGGAGAAATATGACGACGAAAATTCCCTATTACAACTGGCCCTCTCCCTCTGCCTCGTCTCTCGATTGGCGAGGCACATCGTCCTCCCTGTTTTCCTCCACACCATCTTGCTCCGCCGACGTAACAGCGTAAAGAAGTTCGCAAATGCTCTGCTTATGCAGAGAGCGTACGCTAGCAAAGAAAGCGATCTTTTCTTTGACTATAACTCCGCTGTGAAGAGGATGTGGATATAGCGACGTATTGGACTACTCCCTCAACGCACATAGCTCGCCCTTCGAGTTGATATTTCCATGGGTGGTTCAAGCTCAATTGGATGCAACTGAGCTGAGCTCAAGCGGAACATGAACATACTGGTTCCGGTGATCCTTGCGCGCCGAGCGCTTGCGGTTGACCGCCGCTACTTGAAGCTTGTCGTTCATAGCGTGCCAAGATGCAGGGACATCCCGCCCAGATCACAATGCCGACGGACGCTTTCCTTTACTGGGAAGACCAAAAGTCTAACGTTGATGCGTCAGGGCACCAAATGGGCCCCGAACAGGTTTAAAGGCATTCCGAAGGAATCTATTTTCCTTGCATCAATCCCCCCCATTTCACCTACCTCAGCGATTTGAGCTGCGGAATCAAACAACTTTTTCGCAGCATCAGCAGGGGTTTAAAATCGCCAAAACACCCGTTGGTTTCTTGGATGCGCGACTTTCCGTGGCTTGTAATGAAGAGCCTTGAAACCTTTTCAGTAGCCCTACCCGCATCTGCCTGACTCCTACGATTTCAAGTCATATATGGATCACAAAAGGGGACTAGACTTAGCATGTGGAGCGACTCACGATACTCTGTTCCCATTTACAAGCAGGATCCTAAATCTTCCCGTGGGTGACATCGCCGTTTCCTGTATGGATCCTGGAACGAAGAGGATGGAATCGGACGGTCCTTTCCTTTGACGTTACGCGTGATCAGACGCACTTGACACAGATGCTTTGCTCGTGGGATAAAGCTTGGGCCTCCGGTTTAACTGATGGATGCCTCGATGAGGGGGTGTTATAAGATGCTGAGATGACTATCTTTGGATATGTGCCCCGCTCGTCATCGGTTTTACTTCTTACTATAGACTTCTCGTGTACTGCAGACCGGATACCCAATAAATAGGGACGAAGACTGTATAATCCATGAGCCATTATCCGCAGCATGATCTCATTTACACCAACAAAAGCAGGTGCACGATGGAATGGTCAGGTGAACGAGTGATAGACCGTCGGCGAACAAAGTAAACAATTGAAGAAGGCTCTGAATTTTACGCCAAACTCATCATGGACCATGCAACTCTAAGCCCCTGAGTAATCACCTTGATCCTTCGGGTCCCGTAGAATCAACGTTAATCAACAATGGAGCTTGAACGCACCTAGATCTAAGAATCTACAAGTATGCGTCCTAACAATGTAAGGATAGTATATCCTCTACACGACTTCAAATAGAACGCACGACTCATTGATGCGAAGAGAAGCATCCGAGTCACGCGGACACATTCCCTTACCTTCATTATCTCACCGTCGTCAACGACGAGCCACAGTCTTTGAGTCATAGTTGCGGCCTGACCTGTTACCTGTTTCCGGAATTGATCGGTTCCCAAACTCAAGAAGAACAAGGTACGTGCAAGGTGTCGTTACTTAGTCATGCCTGACCCCAGGACCTCGAATAGCTGGGTTTCTAACCCCGAATACCTGGTTTTGAATGTAAGTCTCTTGTCAACGTGCACCTGGTACTTCGGCGACATTTAGTCTTCTCTAGTCATCATCGCTCACAACACAGGCCGCCCCGTATCGCTTACACTTGACAGTGTGCTCGTCCTTCTCCAACACTCGATGACGCTCTCGTCCTTATTTCAACTTTCATAATTATATTTATTATCAGCTTGCTACTGTATGGTGAGTTATCATGATTGTTCTCATATTTTCCGTGACTAAATGCTAGACTCTAAGTGCGCTTGCTAGTGCGCTATAGGTGCCAAGTGGCAGCATGATGGACTCGAGGTGCATTGGGATGTTGTGATGCTTGTGGAGAGTGCAGGGCAGGTACGCGTTGCATCTCCCGTTATTATTGACTTGTAGAGTCGTAGTACTCAATTATTATGACAATGTTATTTTCTTGCTCTTAATTTGTGTTCGATGGTTCGGACGTGTTCAAAACATGAACGTGACACCCGAACATGTTCGTAGTGGTTCAGTTTGACATCCACCACCCCCAAACATAACCCGACCATTGGTCCTGCCCTTGGTCCCATTCCCCGTTCGAAAAAAAACTTGCGAAAACCAACAGAACCGGACTTGGGCATCACTACTCTCAGGCTCCGCAGTGTTGCTGATGCACACAAGTCCAACATCTTCGATGGAGCAGGACATATTGCATTCACTTGCGGGGGGCAGAGGGATAACACCCTATGAGCATATTGGGCTGTCTACGGATGTTTGCAGCGAGTGCGCATTCATGCGCTCAAAAGATTGAATGCTATATAGAGTGCCTCGGTCTGGCTTATTAGATGTTTCATGTTACGTGTGGGCGTGGAGGTCCTGGGGGTCAGGCATGACTAAGTAATGACACTTGCACGTACCTTGAGTTTGGGAACCGATCAATTCCGGAACAGTAACAGGTCACTCATTACTCCTTGCTTGGACTACCCACCCTTCAGGATCAACGCCACTCCCTTCTGCTTTCGTTTTTCACCTAATAGTACGGACTATTCGTACCCGAGGACCCTTACCGTTTCGTGCTTAATACTGTCCATGTACACTCTCATCTAATAGCGAATCATATACTCAGACCTCCGCTCCAAGATACTTCAGAAGCCCTCTAGTCCGCACCTGTCTCGAACGTCCGAACGTCTTCTGCATTTTCCGTTATCTCTATCTAACTCTTAACTCGCTCACAATTCCCTTCGAACTCATACAGCCGCCTTACAACAATCAAGCGCGGTGCCAGTCCTTGCATCTAGCATTTCTGCCATCAACATGACAGTTTCCACCATCATTCACGCACGATATGCCCTCAGCACTCGGTCACTTTCTCAGGTCTATTCCCCCACAATGACGACAAGCAGCTGCACAGACTAGGCGCGCAGCCAAAGAAGAAGGCACAATTGCGGATGTGTTCACGACACTAGACCTGGTACCAAAGTTGCTGCACTCCAGCTCGGTTCGCTCAGCTGAAGAAGGGACGTGCTCACCGATATGGGAGCCACACCTGTGAGTATCGTGCAGGCATGGAAGCAGGTTCTGGCTGCTTTGGAAACACGAACGAAGGAGATCGTGTAGTATGGGGGAGAAGTATAGGCACCGCTTCAAGTAATTCTTTGCATGACTGACAGGAAAATAGGTCATTCCTCGTGTGTCGTTTACCGACATTGAACGTGGCTTGTCCAACGCTCAGAAAGATCATATTAAGAAATCCGGTGTTGTTGTAGTCACGGGAGCAGTTCCAAAGGAGGTTTGTTCACTGTGATATCAGCCAGTGCTTTGTGACTAGCATGGTAACAAATAGGAAGCACTACGATGGAAAGTGTCCTTGAAGGAATATATCACCGCGAACCCCGTCAAAGGTCCGTATATGTCCCCCACTTCTTAACGTGACCTGACATCGTGTGATTCGTGTCGCAGGCTTTCCAGCGGGTGATATTCAGGTATACGAACTCTATAACACTAAACCTCAAATTGCAGCGCGCACTCATCCAGCCATTCTTCGTACTCAACAAGAGCTCCCCAATTTTGGCATGACCCATCCAACAAACGCGTCAGCTTTAGTACTCCCATCAGTTACCTCGACCGCTTGCGCATTCGTACACCTGGCGACAGCTCATTCACACTTGACCCTCATATCGATGGGGGAAGCATCGAGCGCTGGGAGGATCCTACATTCCGTAGGGTCTTCCGCCGAATCTTAGCAGGGGGACGGGTTGGAGATCACACGACCCATTTGACGTGTCCTGGCGCGTGGATGCAAACCAGGATCTATACAATGCACCGTATGGGTTCCATTATCTCCTTTATAAAAGTATATGCTCACTGAATTTGAAGGGGTCAATGTTCTGTCCTCCGTTGTTGGCAAGGCTGGACCTCACTTTCCACGACTGGCGTCGGCGAGGGTACACTTCGCGTACTTCCAATGCTCTCCCTAGCGACAGCGTACATCATGCTTCGTCCTTTCTTCCGTCCCAGTGGCCCCTCCGGTGGTGAGTGGGAGCTGGACTTGGAAAGCAGCTTGTTCCCAGGGAGTATACCAGGCAAGGGGCAGGAGCTTAATGAAGAGACGCACCCGCATCTGAAACTCGGCGAGACCATGACAAGCATTCCAGAGATTCAACCTGGTGATCAGGTTTATTGTATGTGGTTTCTCATATTCTCTCTACATTTTTTGACCGTGTTCGTCGGGACAGGGCATTGCGATACAGTACATTCGGTAGAGAAACTGCATGGTGGTCAAAAGGATTCGTCGGTTTTCTATATTCCTGCAGTCCCACTTACCGTGAAAAAGTAATTCTTGTGACTGGTAGTCTGCGCTCAACTTGAAGTTTGCCTTGCTCAGTGCATCATATATTCGGGATCAGCGAATTAATTTCGTGCATGGTCTTCCCGCTCCGTATGTATTTCATCTTGAGGATTTTTAATGCTGACTGCTCAATGGTGTCAGGGACTTCCCTGGAGGCTCTGGCGAATCTACTTTCGCAGGACGAGCTACGGCGCAAGATGTCACCACTAGCCAAGGGCGTCGGGCGTTGGGTTTCGAGCCATTCTTATCAGAGGGGATCGAGAATAACGAGCTTGTCAATGCAGCGAATCGTGTCTTGTTCGGTTGAGGATCAATGTGTCCATGGAACTCGCCACAATAAGAACGTTCTTGGTTGCTGAATGTAGAGTAGTTACTCTTTGAAAGGTCCAAATACATCCGAGTCAATGTGGAACGTTCAAGATGAGAAGAGATTTACGTGAAAATGTGGCAGACCGCCAAGCCATGACACCGAATAATCAAGCTCAGTATTAGTGGCACCAGATAGGGGTCAATGAATTTCGTACCTCGAGGGTCGCACGGCTATATGAACTCCCACCCTACCCTCGGCCTGAACTCAACCTCAACCTCTCCGTTCCCAATCAATTAGCAACCACCACAACTCCCGTTCCAGTACCAAGTGTATCAGCTGTGTTTACCAGCCCGTTAGGGTGCAAAATTCAGTCATAAAGACCTCGCACGAGTCAAAGCAAAGATGTATCTCCCATCATTCTCCACAGCACTCGCAGACTCGGCCTTTCCATTCAACTGGATTTACGACGCTATGCATTTATTCGTCATGTATCTAGCTGCGTTCTTTGCTGCTAGTCCCCAGACTATCAAAGCACAAGGTGGTAACAGCAGTGGGGAATATCTGATTGGGCTTGGTGAGCATGGTATTGGAGAGCTAGCGCAATACTGAGTGTTTTGCTACAGGCATCGGAGACGTTACTGGGTATGTTTCCGCCTTCTGCTGTTCTTCGGATACCTCTCATGATACCTCCAACAGCCCAGTCGTCGAGACAAATATGATGGTTCGTCCCACTTCATCCCTAATTGTATTTACCACCTAAGTCGCGCGTCAGGGCTATGCATACTTACCACAAACTGACACTGGCCTCCACATGCGTCAGCGCAGCCGCGCATTTATTGTCGCCGATGCCTCAAACCCATCTGAACGTGTTCTTTTCATCAATTCTGGTACGTCATTGATATTCAATCCATACGATCCGCACCCTGACAAAAATAGACATTTGCATGGGCGACACGGGAATCCGACGAACCATTCTCTCCTCTCTTCAATCGCTCTACGGAAACCTGTACACGCCTGCCAACACTGCCCTCGTCGGAACTCATGCCCACAGCGGCGTTGGCGGTTATCTCGAGAACCTTCTCCCACAAGTCACCTCCCTCGGATACGTGAACGCAACCGCAGCCGCCATCGTCTCCGGTACCCTCAAAGCCATTGCAGACGCGCACAACTCACTCGTTCCGGGTAATCTGAAACTCGGAAACACGACGCTGCTCAATGCGAATAGAAATCGGAGCCCGAGTGCGTATTTGGCGAATCCGCAGTGGGAAAAGCGATGTATGAGGGGAATCAGGATACGACGGTTACGGTCTTAGGCTTCGACAATGCGAATGGAGACGCGACGGGGTTGCTGAGCTTTTTCCCGGTGCATGGCACGAGTTTGTATGAGGTACGTGAATGTTTCGACATTTTTGGTTTTAAAAATCTCAAATTACTAGAACAATACCCTAGTGAGCGGTGATAACAAAGGCATGGCAGCGTGGATGTATGAATGTGAGTCTCCCCCAACCGACATTTGGCAAATCTAATACTTCAGGTAGCATATATCGAGCCTTCATCAATGCCTGGCAATAACTCCTTTGTTGCAGGATTCGTACAATGTGAGTCAACATCCCCTCTTCCTTCCTTCCTGTTGAAACAAGGCACTTGAAGCCAACGTGGGCGATACCACCCGAATACGTGAGCCTTCTGTCGCAGTAATAATGTTGATGTGTTGACTTCATTTGCATCATATTTCCCGTTTCAACAATGCGCATATATACAACTTTCTTTTACGACACGCATAACTCACCTCCCGGTCTTCATCCATGCATATCCTCTACAAAACGCACATACAATCCCGTCGCCCGTACTTGCCTCTAATAGCCTGGGAGCCTATTGCGAATCACCCGGAAAACCATGGGATGGCCAACCCTGCGAGTTCGAGCATTCGACATGTGGTAATCGAACCGAAGACTGTCACGGACGGTGAGTTTTCCTTTTATTTTTCTCTTTCTCTTCACTTGTTTTTTTGTTCTTCTCATCCCTCACGTTTGATTTCGATGACCATCTCAACTGTCGCGGTCGAAGCAGCGAGTACGGTGTTTCTTCCTTCCGACTGGCCCCCGGTTACAGCAAGAGACACCGTACTATCTGCTCTTCCATCATTACTCTGATCTTTTCGCATTTCTGTTATTGTCGCGATGTACTGCGCTGTTCAATAACTTTCCATCACCTCATTTCTTGTCGTTCGTGACCCATGTCATATGCTGCCTTGCGTTTTTGTGCCTTGTGAAATGAGCCGAAACCATGGAGCAGCCTTGGGATCACCTTTCATTTCTTGTACCAAGACATATACTGATAACTTATTTCTTCTCCGCATATTAAGGGGTCCTGGCTTCCATATATCGGATTTCGAGTCCAATAGGATAATCGGGCAGGCACAGTTTGAAGCAACACGGACTGTGATGGAGGGCAGCAAAATGACCGCTGTGAGCGGGAGTGTGAAGAGCGTGCACATGTATCTTGATATGTGAGCTGTATTCCATGCATCTTTCGTTAAACCGGCGGTGAGATTAATACGCGTGAAGGACGACTTATTCGTTTACGTTGCCAAATGGGACGCTTGCGAGAACATGCCCCGCCGCTCTTGGTGAGTGTTTTTCCTTCCCCCATTAGCACTTACTCCTGAGCTCACTCTCATTAGGTTACTCTTTCGCGGGCGGAACCACGTAAGCCCATGTCGCTTGATCACTTCCCATCCCATAACGCGTCCTCCAGTGATGGCCCCGGCGCCTTCGACTTCGTCCAAGGAGACAACTCCTCCCAATCCCAAAACCCATTCTGGGAAGTCGTCAAAAGATTCCTAACCCCAGCCCCATCAGAAGATCAAATCGCATGTCACTACCCCAAGCCCATATTACTGAATTCGGGATATAGCCATCAGCCGTACGACTGGTCGCCTGGGACAGTGGACGTGCAGATGCTGAGGGTGGGGCAATTCGTGATTCTTGTGATGCCAGGAGAGTTGACTACTATTGGCGGGAAGGAGGATGATGGTGGGTACATTCTTGGCCTGGGTTTGAGTTTTGGTCATTGATAGATGTGTTCTTTGTAGAAACGCGCTGAGGGGAGAGGCTGATTGCGGAGAGTGTCTTGGACGATAGTGCGTATGTAGTGATCGCAGGTCCTGCAAATACGTACGGACACTACGTCACAACGCGCGAAGAGTATGGTATGCAAAGATACGAAGGTGCTAGTACGATATTTGGACCTGGTGAGTTTGTTCCTCGAGCTTCTTGCAAGACGTTGTGTTTTACAGATTGGTTGTGTTGCCAGCTACGCTCGACGCGTATATCCACAAGTACGGCGAGCTCGTTTCATATCTCGGAGATAATGCCACTGGTGTGCCATCGTCCAATGCAGCTCCTCCGAGCAGACGAGTAAGGCGATCTCGTTACAGGTGAGTCTACACTCGCACACGGCGACGTATCGTTCATGAGTAACTCGTGACTCACAGACTTCGGTGGTCGTTGACAATCCTCCCATTTTCAAGCACTTTGGAGACGTCCTCGTCGATGTCGAGAGCAGCACATATCACGCGGGAGACACTGTAGCTGTGCAATTCGTCGGGGCTAACCCAAGGGTATGTCTTTCGTCCCTATCGCGAGTGGACTCCTTCCTTCTATTTTTGTTCTGACCCGACTATGAATACCACCAGAATAATCTGAGACTAGAGGGGACATTCCTCACTTTGGACAGACAAATGAACAGTAAATGGGTGGTGGTGAGGACAGATTCGCATCCTTCGACGACGTACGAGTGGAATCGGACGAGCACGGTACGTTGTCAAATGTAAGATATGCATCTTTATCGACTGACGTCATTTTAGGTACTTGGCACGAGCACGGTTGATATCAGATGGTGATCCTTCTCCAAAATACTGAGCGCCACTGCAGATCTGCTGATCACTTGCACAGGACCATCGAGGATGGAACACCAGCGGGACATACCGAATAACATACTACGGCGATTCAAAGTCGCTCTTGGGAAGTATATCGGCGTTTACGGGTGAATCTTCGAGTTTATTGTGGGATAATTCTGCATATCAGATTGAGGTGATGACTTTGACTTATTTTTGTTATGGGACGCTGTTTGTTTCACTGCTATGTAGCCGTATTGGATTTATACTATCGTCATCAATATGTCTTGACGGCGGGGTACCTCGTATGTCGATTCACTAAAACTTGAGACGCACGACTCATTGCATCGAACTGCATGATGCATGAAGAATCATTATCAGAAACAAACAAACAGCTGCGAATAAACCGCTAAGCAGCGCACTCGTGACGAAGAACAAAATACAACAGCTACGACGGATAGAGGGGAAGGTGTGATTGTAAACTAATAATACAGACGGTGGATAAAATCGATGAAATGCAGTCACAAGGCTAGGTACAAAGCAAAGCATATGACTGACACAACACCGATGCCGAGATGAAATGAAATACACGCCTGTTTACAAAAAAAGAGGGCCGTTCTCATCGCAGAAGAAGAGAGAACCTGTGTTTCTGTGGGCGCATTCGCGGTAAGACCCACTCAGGGAGTGGGTTGCAAGCACGACCGCGGCACAAGCCGCCATACACCCACCAGGGCCACATTGCATGCCATCAATGCAGGGGGCACCGCAGGGAGTGCGACCCCGAATGTGAACCCGGCGGCCGGTCGTAACAAGCAACAGCCAATCCATTGCATCCTGTTCAAGAAGTCGAGTCGGCGGTGCGCAATGATTTGACTGGAATAGTTTTACCTGTCTGACAGATGCCGTAGGCTAGCGGGCCTGCGACTACAGCCTGGGGACTGCAGCGGCAGTGAAGAATAGGGGCAAGTGACTTAAAGTTCATTTTTGCCCAGAGAGTACTTAGTCAATGGTAGTGGCTTGACTGAATGAGATGGTGGGTGGTTCTAGAGATTAGAGGTAGAGCGGGATAGAAAGGATCTAACAGGTAAGAGCAAGTCTCAGTCTCTAGAAAGAACTCATATTGACGAAGCGTGTACCTAACAGGTAAGAGCAACTACGCTAAGTCAGTTATGTGTAACAATAACGGTAAAGGTGTAGACTCACGTCTCAGTCTCTAGAAAGAACTGAGACGCTCGCAACGGTTGGGCGCTAGTATTTATACGGTAAGCGCTCTCGATTATTTTGAAGGTAAAAATTTACTTTGGACCATTTCGGCCCCGACATCAACAGGTACTCCCTGTTCCTTCCGTCCCCGGCACACTTCTTGCACTCGTACCCTCTACTCCTCCTCCCGTTCCTCTCCGGCTTCGGTATCTTTGGACTCAGCGGAATCGGATGTCAATAGTGGTGACAGGAGAGCCTGGTGGACGTGTCGAATGTGTTTACCCAACGATTATATGGGTGGGTGACATGAGATCATAGCTCCGTTCTAAAATATAAAAGTTATGTCGCCTGACATGCAGCGTGAAATTAAGCAAGATGACCCCGCTTTGCATTAGCGGGGGTCACAGGCGAGGTGATACACGTGGTGATGAACTCACGAGATGTAGGTCCCATCCATACCGTAACTGACAGTACATACTACTAGTATTAGTAGTAGTACACAACGTTGCTTCATTTCTGACTTTGAATGAGAGTGCTCAGCAGCTAATCACGACATACTGATCGTAACAGCGCTCTGCATAAGCAGTCATCGAGCTGTCCAGCTTCCCACCAGAATCCCTTCTGAAAGGCAATTTGTTCAAGCGTGGTTATTAGTAGATAGGGGACCGGTGACTTGTTCAAGTTGGAACCACCGCTTGAAGTGGGACTCATCATTGATACCATTAATGGAAGCCGCTGATCAGCGTTTTGCCCAACAACAGCATGTTCATAAATTTGTAATTTTCTGCCGAAGTTTGAGACTTTGAGTACGAATCATGGAGTCTAGACACCGTAGCTAGTGTGAAATAGAAACAGTGGCGAGACATAGACTCTCAGCTGCGTGCAACTCGAACCAACTAAAGACAAACGACTCGGAGAGCAAGATACATAAGAGTCCATGGTTGTATTTCTGGTGCTGTAGACCGAATCAGATGTAGTTCTTTCTCATCACGGAAATGAGGGCATGTGGGTTCTCATCGCCACATTCACGATTGCGCCCACTCAGGGAATGGGCATAAACGCGACTACGGCACAAGCCGCCATACACCCCCCAAGGGCAGTATTGCATGCAAGCACTGCAGGGGGTGCTAAAGGGAGTGCGACCCCGAATACGAAGCCTGCGCCGGCGTAGCAAGCTACAGCCACGCCATTGCATCCTATTCAAGAAGTCGAGTCAGCAATACACGTTGATGATGTGATTAGACCTTACCAGTCTGACAAATAGCATAGGAGAGCGGACCCGCGACTACGACCTGAGGGACTGCAGCAGCAGTGAGGAGGGCGGCAAGTGATTTAAAGTTCATCTCGACAGGTAGCGGTTAATTCGACTGAATGAGAGTGTGGTTGGTACCAGATGGGTCTCCAGCTATATAGGTGGGTGACATTAACTCCGTTTCAAATATCAACTGTGAACTGGTAGGAGGTGTACGTACTATAGAGGTATCATGGTTTCTGACCTTGAATTACACGAGCCCGAGATGATAATAATGTAGGCGCTCCGCGCTCGCGCCGAGTCCACGACCGCAAGGGTACTAATTAAACTCTAGCTCCTTCCAATGATGGAACGTGCCATCAATCTTGTTGAGATATTCCCCACCAATGCGGGCAGAAATCCGTCTGATCGTGACCACTTTATCCTAAAATACCCCGACACTTAAATACCATGAGAGATAGAATCAAACATGAAGGGCAGATTGGACTGTGTTTGCGATATTAAGGTGTCCTATGGTGTATGTACAGAGATTAACAGCTGTCCCACACAAGATAAGAGAGCGGACCCGCAACTACGACCTGAAGGACTGCAGCAACAGCGAGGAGTGCAGCAAGGGATTTAAAGTTCATCTCGATTTTCGACAGGTAGCGATGAACTTGAATTCGACTGAATGAGCAGTGACTCTGGAGGTGGAGTAAACTCGGTATCAAGTATCAGTGTAAAGGATTGATGAGTCTCCAACTGAGTGACATTAGCTCCGTTTCAACTTTCAAACTATGAATTGATAGGAATTGTAAGTAACTAAGCATCAAATATTTATTTTTGACTTTGAATCAAGCCCGCGGCGATGACAATAACGTTGGCGCTCCGCGCTCGCGCCGAGTCCATGACCCCACTAGAAGTTCGAATTACGACCGCAAGCTAGTGCTAGGCTCCTTCCTCACTGGGAGTTCTCCATGCCATCAACCTTGTTGAGATATCGCCCACAATGCCAGGAATCCGTCTTATCATGATCACCTTATCCTAAAATACCCCGAAATGCCATGAGCATCAGCAAAATCACTGATTCCCTTTTTGTACTTAAATGACTTAATAAGCACAAATAAGCAAAAATCAGCGGGCAACTTATTCAGACAAGTCAATCTCTGATTTTCGTCTTAATCTCACTTATCCCTCTGGTAGTAAGACAAAAAGGTGTGCATTGCGATCAAACAGCAAAATCAGTAAGAAAATATAAGGCAGAAAAATAACTTGAATCTATTAGTGATAGTACTGAGGATTGAGAAAACGGATAGGAAAAATGTGGGAGTCTGTTATTGGTGTCAGTGGGAAAGAAAAAAAACACTACAGCTGAGGTTGTGTCAAAGCGCATAGGGTAGTATTCTATTTAAAAAAATGAAGTCAGCAGTGATAATGCTAAGTGGGGAGTGAAAAACTTCACAAATGAGGGCGCGCTCATCAACACTCTGAGTCTCCTCAATATCTTCATCCAAGGCATCTCCCCTCACAGACTTCTTCATGAACCTTCGTGCACATGAAATGATGATTAGTTTCAAGTCCTCGTTCCTGTTGCTGATTGACTTCATGTATGCTTCCATCTTGTTGTGCCAGTTAGCGAAGGAAAATTTGTAACATCCGCTTGACATCTTGCCCATTGCCTTGTTGCATTTCGCCGGAAGCTTGACAGAAAACTTGCCAGTGGCCTAGTGCTGCCGTGGTCCGGTTCAGTCCAGTTCAGAGGGTCTTCAACAAGAACTGAGAACTGGACCAATGGTCCGGTTCTGTGAAATTGTTGAACCCAGAACCGGACCATTGAGAACAGTTCTCAATGGTCCAGTTCAGTTTTTTTGTGGTCTGAACTCGAACCGAACTGAAAATTTTTCTGTAGGGACAGCAAAAATAATTGACGAAATACTAGTCTACACATTGAGTAACTACTCTAATAACATTTGTGCGTACTCCTCTGCCTCTGTAGCTGCTGAAAGATGTCCATTATGGTAAGCGGCCTTCATGAAAATGATTGGCCGTGTGAACTTGCTCCCAGGAGACTGGATTGGGGAGCAGCCGCCGAAAACACGAATAAAGGGCAAGTCTATTTTGCGGCATTGGCAACAGTTGTGGTAGGGGAAGGTGCAGCAGTAGGCTTTGGGATCATGCTCGCAGGCTTCTTGCCAAAGTCAAACTTCAGCGGTGCAGGTGTGGATGGGGCAGAAGTTGGGGCAGTGTTGCTTGAAGTGGTACTAAATATTGATGGTGGGTTAGCTTGTGTTGATGTAGATGTTGGCGTCGAGGAAGGTAGTACACTGGGTTGGTTTTGCAAAGGGGAATGGTGCTGGTTTGCCGGTTTCTGTGCTTGATGCTGCTGGTGCAGAGAAGGGATTGGTGGATGTGGAAGTAGGTGCAGCGAACAGCAGCTGTGCGGGCATGGGACCAAAAGAAAACAAAGGAGCTGCAGGTGCAGGCATCGATGGTGCAATTGGCTTAGTGAAAAAGTCCGGTATGAAGGGTGTAGATGACGTGGTAGGTGCGGTGGTGGTGGTTATTTGTGGAGTAGATGAGGTAGGGAATAGGCTGGGTTTATTGGCAACAGGAGCTGAGGGTACCTGAAGTGTAAGGTTAGTATCAAGTCAAAAACTTCAAAACAATTTGAATGAGACAGTCGATAGGAAGACGGCTTTCACCAGTGACAAAAAGGATGCACGCACATAATTATAGAGCCTGACTCAAATGAGATTTTTAAAAAATTAAATTAAATTCAGATGCACATACCTGTAATTTGTGGGTGGATGATGGCAAGATGGAGCTGAGTGATGGTTCAGTCCAGATGATTGGTGGGATGCAAATCAAAGGTGCCTTGAAAAAGAGAGATAGAAAGTCACATGAGAAATTGATTGATTAGTACTTACCTTGAAAAGGCTGAAGGTAGCCTGATTAACCAATAGTGCAAATCCTGAAGACAGCAGTTTGATGTGGAGACCGACTTTGTTGCAGTTGCAGTCGAAGTCGAAGTCAATAATGGTTTGGAATGGTTCGGCAAGGCCAAACCAGAACAGAACCATTCGGGAAGACCTATAACCGAGAACCATTTTCCGGTCTGGTTCTGGCTGATGTGAGAACTGTGGACCAAACTGTGGAGAACCAGACCAAAAGTCCAGTTCAAACCATGGTTCTGGACCGGACCGCGGCAGCACTACAGTGGCCATAAACGCAAGAACTTCATCGACATTGATGATGCTGTCTTCGACAAACTTGAGGGCACATTCAAGCTGGAAACAATCAGAAGAGAAACATGGTTTTAAAAAAAACTCACAGCAATGACACAGAGCACAATAATACCATCCATACCTTTGCCCAAAGCGAGCTTGTCGGTATTCAATGCAGGTATGCTGGCATGGTCAACAATGGCACTGAGGTGAGTGGATGTGATCATTTGCAGTACAAATGTGGACAGGTAGGCTGTCTCCTGCGATATGTTATCTGGGTCTTCATAAACAAATGCGCAATCCTTCAAGAGTTGCTTGGCGACAAGGTCATTTGGTGCATCTTTGATGCGAGAGCAGAAATCAATGATGATCGCAAGTGCTGTTGAGCTGATGTTGCTCCTCCACTCTGAGAGCCACTGTTGCCTCTAAAAATGTGTATGAAAGACACGACAAAAAATAACAATAACTATGAACTTACCACTGTGAATACAGCACCATTTGGATTCACCTTGTACTTGACATCAGGGTAGACCACATTAAAGATCTCCTGCAGCGCGTCTGCCATCAGAGACTCAGAAATTTCCCATGGATTAGCTTGACTTCCAGCCCAGAGAAGTGCCATAGACAAGAAGGCCTTCACCCACTTTGAGTCAGCAGGTACTGGGAGATCATTGTTGCAATATTGACTGGGCGGTGTTACAAGAACATCTAGATGCTTGGGCCCCTACCATTTTCCTCCTGATCCTCCTCGTATCAGCCCTTGCATCACACCCTTACCCTGACATCACCCTGGTCATCCTTGTCATTTTCGCATTCCCTTTTGCTCTCTACCTGTCGCTTCAGCAGAGCCAGTACATCTGGCCGGATCCTTTCGCTGATGAAGCATATCCCATGCTCCGTTCCACCACCTGACTGATCCTGCGGACAGTCCCCTTGCCCTTACCGTCCGGACGGTAACCTATGATACGATGCACGACGCATCCCCTTTACCCTGTTTCCTTTCCTGATCTCTGACTCGATGCGCAGTCGCACATGCGACTTATACTTAGCTCCGCAGCTGCACGATCGTGCCTCTGCATGTTTCACTTCTTATTCTGATCTTTGACTCACTTTCTTATCCGCACGTTCAGAGCTCACCCGTGTCTCACCTCGAACGTGCCTTCCTTTTATGGTCATACCCTTTACCGTTACTTCTCTTGGTAGTACGAGTTATCATCCACTAATACGCTTCCTGTCCTCTATATAAACTCGCTACCATGTAACATATTCCTTAACTTGAATCTACTTGGTTCTTGACCTCCTACTCTCACCAGAGTGATCCTTTCTGCCTCGCCAGCAGTCTATATTCTATCCTCTTATCTGCTCCTCGCGGATAAGCCTATAGTCTCGATCTTTACTCATTGACTTCGTCGACGAGCAAAGCCCCTGTTAACTAGTCGGACTTCTGTCCTTCTAATTAACGACGATCCTTACGATTAACCTTCGGGTGTCGTAAGCCTAGGCCGATATAGCTTATCGTCTCGCAACTGCCTGACATAAGCTACCCGATTTGGACATAGGCGTCAAATCTTACTTGCTGAAGCCTCGCCAAGTAAGACCCCTAACCTTGGGCTAGCCCAAGGACGTCCTCAACCGTTGACAACATACACTCTGTTTGAGCGTCGCCAACAGATACCATCCAAGTCGTAACACGCGGCTTAACAACCTCCTTTGCAGTAGCCTTCTGTGAGACCTGCAGGACTTGGGTGCTGGGAGGAGGTACAACATCATCATAATAACCCGCTGGGACTTGGGTTGAGGGTGGAGGCACAAGATCACTGCAGCTGGTAACCTCAGAGCTTTCTTTCTTCAACTTTTTGGATGGTGGAGGGGTAGCGCTCTGAGATACAATAGTAGATGTCTGAAATACACATGCTGAATCAGATCATCACACAAGACAAAAAAATCCACATACTGATGTAGTTTTGCGAGAAACATGGCCCTTCTCAATGGTGGGAATTGATCTAACCTTGGGCAAGAGACTTTCCTGTAAATCATCAGCTGAAAAGTCAGTATCATCAGTGGCCTCAGACGCAGTCTCATCAACAAAATCCCCGTCATCATCAGCCTTACACTTGATACTACCAGGCTGAGCAGAAAACATTATCTGCTCAGGCTCAGAGTCACTCTCGCTGGTGGGAACAATTAAAGTAGACTTCTGCAATTGAACTGAGTCCTTGAACTGAATTGCCGATGGGAAGGATGACTTACTTTAATCGCCTGTTTCCCTTTCTTCCTAGGCAGTACAGCTGGATGCTGTTCAAGAGCCTCAGGGTCATCAAGACTATTGTTGCTGACCATGAGGACATCGTTGGACTCAGGTGCGCTAATTGATTGCTTCTGATTGATGTGCGCAGGTTTGGCCTTGGAACTGGTCTTGGTACTGGTGGTCAATACCGATGAGGGCGGAGTGGTTGCAGCGTGAGAAGCAGAAAAGATGTTTGATATGGAGCTTGGTGTAGCAGACTTTGGTTCAGCTGGTACATTGTTAGCCCAGTTGTTGATAAGACTGCCGAGTGAGAGTTTTTTAGTTGTACTTGAAACCACACAATTTATAAAAAAAAAGAGTTGATTCACTGAGTGAAAACATTGTTTTGATGAAGAGTGTGTTGGACTCACGACAAAGGCGCCTTGTTGCCTTTCTTATCATTCAAGGCACTGCATCAGAATCAATGTTATTGGTCTTGCGGGCATTCTTGATGGCTTCCTTCAGCAACATTTTTACTGCCTTCTCTTTCTTTTCCTTCCCACCAACAACTTCAGCTTCTCCATCACTCAATAGAGTGTCCTCTGCATCAACACAAGTGGTTTGACCATCTGGTGAGTGTTAATATCAGTTTCTATTCTCAATGTGATGTTTATCATACCATCAGTAATATCTGTGCTAGAGGTTTTTTTGCCTTTGGCGACAGGACGAGGACGAGGACAAACAGGCTTTGCCTTAATACCTCCCTGCACTTTAGCTTCAAGAGCCTCCATATCATCCTCGATACCAGCAATCTGTTCAGCAGCCTTCTGAATATGTGCGCTCTTCTGTTCCGGGCTTTTGTTTGTGTGTGGGTCGTCAGTGACCTTCGAGCTCTTGGTACATGATTTTCTCTTTGCATTCTGGAGTCATTCCTCAGCTTCGGCCTCTAAAACAGGCCTGCCAGGATGAGCATTGGCATTCGTGGGACGAGTTTGACAGGTGGACACTTCTTGCGAGGCTTTGGGTGCCATGGCTGACTATTGAGTTGATGAGAGGAGTAGATGAGGTGGAGCAAATAACTGGGGTGCAAAAAATGCAAGGTACTGGTCCCGGGGATTAACACACATATTTGCTGACATTTCTCTTATGTTCTCAAGCTTCTGTAGGCAATGGCTCAATTTTTGATGGTACTACCCTGCCTCTAATCCTAGTTAAGTTACTGTCTGTCATATCCCATATTCTGGACATACATCCGATAATATTCCCATGCCTCATCCAGACCTTCAGATGTCCTATCCATGTCTGCAGTCCTCTATGCATCCAGATCCCTTTACCTTCGCAGCTAGCCTGCATCATTCATCCTTTGTCCTATCCCACATATCCACGCATCTCGTCTGGACCATATCCAGTCCAATCCAGTCCGATGCATAGATCCGCTTCCGATCTGATATCAATAAGCTTCTTAATCCATTTCCTGTGCATATAATGTTAACATAGCTTATCCAGTATTCCTTGTTTTCGGTACCTTGGTTATACTTACTACCGGTATGCTTACTGATCCATTAACCTATGCTTCATTTCTGACTCGCATTTGTTAACTTTGCTTATGCTTCGTACATAGCCTCGGACCTTTGCTTATTGATCTTTCTGATAGTCACTTAGTATATAAACTCTTGTATATGTCTTGTAGTCCCTCAGTCTGAATATCATATCAGTCCTCGCACTAGTCTTCACAACTAAGTCCTTATACTAGTTCCTTCCTTGTGAAATCTTCCTTAGGCCTAGGGAGGAATTCCCTAGGCCGGAGCTCCACTCCTCTGATCCTCTGATCCTATATTCCTCCAAGTTTCTGGAAGTTCGTCCGGATCTTTCCCACAGTCCTCCAGACCTATTCTGCTTCAGACATTGTCCTTGCAGCCTTACCTCTGTTTGCTTCTACTCAGGACAAGTCCTGAGTAGCCACTACACATATTCATATCAGGATGAAACCTCATTGTAATTTCCAGAACTTTCCTCCAGAACTTTCCCACACTCATCCGGAAGTTACTTGCACTCATCTGGAAAGCCCTTCCAAAGTTTCCTGTACCTTCGGATATCCATTAGACTTCCTAGGATCTTCTCCGGACATCAATCTGAAATTAAGGGCACATACTCGGGTAAGGGGCACAGCGCACGAGCTGAAGCCAAGCCCCTCAGAATCAGTCCTACCCCTTTGTGCATGGTCTTAACACTGTTATGACTGGGATAGTTCTTCTGTCAATGGTCAAAGATAGACCAGTCTTGTTGACAGCTTGTTCTGAACTCCTAGTACAAGGAGGGTTCAGGTTCAAGGGTTCTGCTAGACGAGCGCGGCGGCTTCTATCTAGGTTCAGCGGCGAGTGGTTTTAGCACTTCTGCCTATCAAGGGTTCAGGCTAAGACAGTGAGTGACTGTCTTAGAATCGGATATCAGACTATAAGGGTGGAGACCTTATAGAACAGGATTCAAGGGGAAAACCCAGTAGATTAAGTTAAGAAATACTACTGTTGTACATGGAGTTTATATAGGTAACAAGGAGCGGCATAGCCATATCAAGAAAGGTAAAAAAGATAGGAAAATAGTACAACCTATCAAGATAGCAAAGATAGGTGAAACAATCATGCTGCGCATGATGGTAGTCAAGATATAATAAAGAAGAAAAGAAGTGCGGACAGCCCGCTTAAGAAAGAATAGCTGAGTCTAGATGAGTCTAGAGTCGGTGCTATGGTTACAGAAAGGGAAAAATAAGTAGGACTAAATGTTGTTGTAACAAACACTGTCAGAGAAAGGTTTGCATTCAGTCATTTACTCGCTTTCTTTCTTCATTCTGCACCCTAGTGCCATGCCGCCTACTCGAAAGAAACGTATTTCATATCAATTTCGTTGTCGCCATCCTGGATGTAAGAAGTACTTCAAATCTCTCAGCGGATGCACAAGGCACCGCATTGCCATGCACCCATTTATGAGCAGGGAAACTACAAAGGGAGCTGGGTCGCAGGACATGGACATTGATGGTGAGTCCCACATCTGTCCCACTCAGTAATTAATGTCTTTATTCTGACCTTGATTTTTTAAGATCATGGTTCAAATTGCTCATCTCTGGTGCCCCCAGCACAGGAAGGAGATTATGACATGAACTTTGCTGGTGAGTCCCATCAGTGATACCCAACCCACAACAGTTATAACACTACATATTAAAGATGGACCACACCTTTCATCTCCACCACCACCACCAGGGCAAGTTGACGGTGATATTGGTGGTAAGTCTCAGTCTCAATGTCAGCGTGTTTTATCTGACAGCGCCTTCTGAAGATGCCCGCTATTCATCTGTACCACCAGCTCATGAAGTAGACACCGAATTCCATGGCACAGGCAAGAACTTGTACCACAATTATCACACTGGTTTGGATGGTGAGCACATCTTATTCTTATAGCTATCTAACGCTAATGGAGTCCCAGCTCAACCATGTGATGCAAATGGCCTTTTTTTAGTGCCTGGTACTCCACCACTGCCTTTCACAGAACAGTTACCTGATGACTGGTCACCATTCCGCAACCATACTGAATTTGAGATGGCCGAATTCTTGTACAGCCACGCACAAATGTCCGTGTCAAATATCAACACTCTCCTTGATCTCTGGGCTGCGTCACTCCTCAAACATGGCAATATGCCGCCTTTTTCAGATCATAAGGACCTCTACAAGACAATTGACAACATCCCCATTGGTGGCATCAACTGGCAGTCCTTCAAAATTCAGTATTCCGGAGAGAAACCTGATATACCGGCAGATGTGCCTTCATGGATGAGTCAATAATTCGAATGTTTGGTATCGCGACCCTCGTGAAGTTGCACGCAACATCCTCACTAACCCTGACTATGTAAATGACTTTGATTATTGTCCTTTCCATGAATATTCAGTCAGTAAAGACGAACACCGTTACCAAGACTTCATGTCGGGTGACTGGGCCTGGAAGCAAGCGGTACATGTCTTTCTATTAGACATTACTTCCTTGTATTGAATATTCTTTCCAGGATATCCTTGCTACTGACCCTGACACACTCGGTGCGATATTTGTACCCATAATACTCGGAAGCGACAAAACAACGGTATCTGTCGGCACCGGAAACAATGAGTATTATCCATTGTACCTGTCTATTGGCAATCTACGCAACAATGTCTGTTGAGCGCATCAAGATGCGCTCTGTCTTGTTGGCTTTCTTGCCATTCCAAAGAGTAGGTCTTTGACACCTTTTTATACTGTAACTATTCTCAATCTTGCAGCTACCAATGAGCATAAGGAAACCAAAGAATTCCATGACTTCCAATGCCAAATCTTTCATTCTCACTTGCGAAGATACTTGAGACTTTCAAGAAACCTATGTTAAAGCCCGAGGTCACACATTTTGGCGATGGACATTATTGACGTGTCCTTTATGGGCTAGGACCATATATTGCAGACTATGAAGAGCAGGTTCTACTCACATCCATTGTGAGGAATTGGTGTCCAAGGTTCATCATGCTAGCTCTTCGCGCTGTTCTCTTAATGTTTAATACTCTCAAAGATGTCTCGCTCCCCATGGAAAACTGGACGACGATGAAGCGCTATGCCGATGCGAGGCACACAGAGAGGCTCTCTTCGAGGAAGACACATCTGATGTCCTGCGGCATGATTTTGGTATTGTGGGGTCTATTGTGGTATGATTCATTCACTCGCTGCAGTGTTTGCCTGACTTATGAAAATTTAGCCTTTTACTAATGACTTTCCTTGTGCTGACATTCATCAACTGATTGCACCGGATATCCTTCACCAAATCATCAAAGGCTGCTTCAAGGACCATCTTGTGACATGGGTGGAGAAGTACCTCCATCATGTTCACAGCAAAAGGGAGGCCGAACATCGAATGGATGACATTGACCAATGACTTGCTGCCGCTACTCCCTTCACTGGTTTGTGACATTTTCCACAGGGTCGTGGATTCAAACAATGGACCGGGGATGACTCTAAGGCACTCATGAAGGTACATTTTTTTTCCTGATTGACATAAGATTTGTTGACTGATACATTACTGTTCAATGGCATCTAGATATATCTACCTGCGATAGAAGGCCACGTACTGACAGACGTCATCCGCACATTTCATGCATTTTTGGAGTTCTGCTATCTTGTTCGAAGGAATGTCATCATGGAGAACACGATCTCACAAATAGAAGATGCACTACGTCGCTTTCACCACTATCACTCAATATTTCTTCAGTTAGGTGTTGTCCCTACATTCTCACTCCCTTGTCAGCACTCAATGAAGCACTATCCCGACCTTATCCATCTATTCGGAGCGCCAAATGGTCTATATTTGTCAATGATGGAAAATAAGCATATTAAAGCTGTGAAGCAACCATGGTGTTGGTCAAACAGATACAATGCACTTGGACAGATGCTTGTGACAAATCAGTGACTCGACAAAATCGCTGCTTTGCATGTAGACTTCACGATATGTGGTATGCTCAATGGTACATGTCTTAGTAATGCTTCAGGTAAGTAAATCGAGACTATGATATCATGCTTCACTGATTTCAATTAGGTTGTCTTGATACTTCATGCAATGACCCTCCTGCTGAACCTCCTGACACCAGTCTCGATACTGCTGAGGCCAATGATGTTGATGAGGGTAAAATTGATGATGGGCCGACTGAAATTGAGGCCCATGTGCAGCTTGCACGAACATGCCGTGCGTATTTCGATCCTTTCACTATATATCACTCACTCACATTGATATCAGAATGAAAATGTGCCAGAACCGTAGCAGTGCTCACTATCGAGCTTTCTATTCCGAACATACAAAATCTTATTGGTTGCTTTCTCTTTGAGCAACTTCACCCTCATGACCCTCGTGACCATGCCACCATCCCACTCGACAGTTTCCCCGTCTATGATGGGAAAATCTCTGTGGTTAATTCCACATCATCAAGATTCTATGCGCCGAGTGACTTAAGTGGGATCAGAGGGATGCAAAGGGAACATATACAATCCTGCCCTAACTGGAGGAATGTGCAAGCTCGCTATGACTGCATGTTCATAAATGCACAACCAGACTTTGAAGGAATGTGAGGGCTTCAGATAGCACGCGTGCTATGCTTCTTCTCCTTCAAGTACAAGTTCATCTTGTATGAGTGTGCCATCATTCATTGGTTTGATGTCATAGGTGATGCCCCTGATGAAGACACAGGCATGTGGGTAGTTCAGCCGTCCTTTGATGGTCACTTTCCAAATATTTCAGTGATACACATTGACACAATCTATCGTGCAGCTCATCTCCTTCCCCTTTACGGTGTTAATTTCATCCCTTGTGCTATTAACTTTTCAAACTCTTTAGATAAATTCCGTGCTTTCTATGTCAACAAATTCACCAACCATCATGCATTTGAAATCGCATTTTAATATTGTATCACTCAGCTCCCCTCTCCCATATCTCCAATGACACATCTGCCAAATTCATACTCCCTTCACTCATCTCTCTCAGCTCCCCTCTCCCATATCTCAAACGACATCTGCCAAATTCATACTCCCTTCATTCAACCCACTCAGCTTCCCTCTCCCATATCTCAAACAACACAACCATCTCCTACCAAATTTGTACTCCCTTCATCAATGCTGGCAGCATCTCCAAAACACAAAATCCATCCACCTCCTCCAAAAGACCTACCATATGCCATCGTGTCGGATGTGTTGGAATGTTTCGGAGGAAAAGAGTAGATAGATATTTCGCAATACAATAAAGTACTACTAATATCCAATGACTTCCATCCTACTACTGAGTGAGGAAAAGTAAGTAATGCAATAGGTAGGAAGTACTAGATATTAAATAGTGACTATGTAGAAATTCGGAGTGCTATAGGCGAGAGTAGTAGCAATATTTCAGGTCCGAAATCCTATGTAATAGGACATGTGGTACTGTGGACTATGAGAAACATGTAATAATGCTGTATACAATGCTTAGCAAGTCAAAAAAGAGTAAATGTGCACCTAGTGGGGATAGATGCGACTGGACAGGACATATGGAGGACTGGTCTGATGCGTGGGAATGTCGGGTTGGGATCGGACATGCGTCTGACTGTCAGAAAGTGTGTCAGGTTGGGATCAGACTGTCGGACTCGGGTCAGGGTAGTCGGAAGTGTGTCGGACAAATACTGCTTGACATCAGTATCAAAATAGCTGGTTCCGAGCCCAGTGCAAACACCTATGTACAGGTGCCAGGTTACATAGTCTGACAGAGTATTCCGGCACCAAACGTCCAGCTGAGCGATAGCGTAATTTTATTCTGTTTCATTTTTGACCATCCATCATTGTCGAGTTCGGCATAGCTCACACATCCTCACTTGCACTTACCGTCATTATTTTTGTTCTTCTTTTACTTACATCCTCAATATGCACGAACACCTCGGTCTGCAGCTCAATGGGCCATCAAACGCCCCTCCAACACCACCATCCACCCAGAACGCCATTCCCTCTGGGCCAAGTTCCTCTACTCAACCGCCCACCGCAGGATTGTCATCAATGGATGCCAACAATCAAGGGGCCCCGAGAGCTACTCCTTCTCAACCCCTCCAAGCTGCAATGCAGCGGCCAGTACCACAATCCCGCCAACATCTGGTTTAGCAACAAGCCGCGACTGTCGTGCTTCCAGCAGGGCCCAATGCTCCACATGCCCAAAACCCTCCCCCCGCCCAGCCTGCTGATGAAATCGCTGCGCTGAGGGCGAGGATTGCCGAGCTTGAATGCGGGAGTGCTCACGGCAACCAACTACTGGCCAGAGCCACCGTTCCTCATCAAGCTTTGGTAGCGGATCCCACTGCTGTCAATCGCATTCGCGCGAACTTAGCTAGTGCCAAAGACGAGCCTAAGAAGCTCACTTTGCCTGCTCTTCAACCTGGGCACAAAGTCAGCGCCCTAAGCTTACACGAGTCTTATTTTACTGTCGTACCTGCGCCCTTTCCGTTTTTCTCCAGGTGTATGCTGTGTTCATTTGTTTGGCACCTGCTTTGTTAGAGTGCCCTGTCACGCTGTTTGCGTCAGACCGTCCGTCAAACACAACCATTCGGCAGAGTTATTTCTGCAGTGTTTATCTTTTCACTCTACCACAATCATTTTAGTTGTCTGATATGTCGTACCGCAGCCATTCCTACGAAGGTAGAGGAAGCTTTCAAGCTTTACCACTATGTGCTATATACGGCACTCACACATGTGGGCACTCTAGAGCCCACCTTCATGGAAAAGACTTGTCCTTTATTTTTACTCAGGACGGGCTTACTGCCAAAGGCCTTGATCGCTCGAGCGAGCTATCAATTGTGACCGTCGACTGGGTTGGTGCAGCGAAAGCTGCTAAAGAAAGGACTTTGCACTACTGGGGTGCAGATAGAGCATCTGCCCTGATGTCACATCATCTTGTTGTCCTCGATATTGGCCAAATGCATGGCTGGTTAGTTGCAATGCACTATGATGTGCAACAGCGGGAATTGGCCCATGCAAACCACGAGCACAACCTCACAGGACTCGACGTAGCAGCCCTTACCATAGCCAACAATAAAATTGCAACTTCCATTTCCTTTGCTATGCATCCCAATACTCCCACTAAGTGTTCTGCTCCGAGTGATTTCGTATCATCTCCTCAAAAGAAGTCTCACACATTTGTGTCGAACCACTGCTTTCGGTGTGGGGCACACGGTCACTTGCCTGCCAACTGTTCTGCCAACACTACCATTGCAGGCAGGCCCGTCGCAGCCCTTGCAACTGGTGCAAGAAGCAAGCACGCCCTCGCTACAGCCAGTGGGAAACACTACTGCTTCAATTGGGCCAATAGCTCTAATTGCTCCTTTGGAATCAGGTGCAAGAATACCCACTCCTGCAGCCTGTGTGGGGAGTCGTCTCACGGAGCCGGGAGTTACAAAGCTCATGGATGATCCTCGCACTGTTGTTACCCCTCTCGATCACCTACAGGTGGAAGAGCTTCTCCGTAAATATGGTATCTTCGACGACTGGCGTCATATAATGGACAATATACATAATGGTTTTAATGTTGGTGTTGCAGAACCACCAACCAGTACATATACATTTCGAGAATCATGCATCCTCTTTACTCAATCCCTCCATAATCAACTCGTACATACTCTCCAAGCAGGCCGCTGGCAGATATTCCGTTGGATTCACCCCCTCAGATTTAGAGCATTTAATTGGCCCATTTCGTACTTCTTCGCTGGGTTTAGTCCTGAAACCTCACTCAAACAAATTTTGTATCATCCAAGACCTATCCTACCCATGAAACCTCTCAGACGTCCAGTCTGTCAACACTTCAATCAGTGCGGACAATTTTCCTACAGTATGGGGCACATTTGATGAAACTGCTGCACTAATACTTTCCTTACCCCTGGGTTGCATCACAGCTACCTTCAATGTCTCTTCAGCATACCACATAATTCCTGTCATGCCTTCGCAGCAAAATGCCCTTTGCATTTTTTGGAGGGGCATTGTGTATGTGGATCGAGCTCTCATGTTCGGTGTAGAAAGCTGATCTCTGCTGGGCTCAGCAGAAATCGTACTACCTAGACAACAATTATTTAGGTAGATCTTAGCACGACCTATGCTGCTATACTTGCAGAGCAAGTGCGTTCGATCCTATAGGGGTTGCTAATTGGTATTTAGTAGTAAAAATGCGTCAGTAATACAAATAACAAAATGTCCAATGGTGCGAAACGATGTCCGAAGGTAAATCGATGATGTCCGAAGGTACTTATCCAATGTCCGAAGCCAAAGTGCGATGTCCGAGATTTCGGACTTTCGGACTTCACGATAATAGGTCGGAAACTTTATAACGAGTGTCGGATTGTGAGCGGTATGTGCGAGTATAACGAGTGACAGAGTATGACAGTGAACGAATGGTAATATTTCGCAATGCAACTAAGAACTACGAGAATATTCTGGGTGATCTGCAGAGTCGGGAAACGGCTCCTAACTACTGGATGATGATTGCTACAGGTCACTACAGAGTATTTAAGTAAGTACATAGAAATTTGGAAAACTACAGGCGAAGATAGTAGTGATATATGTCGGGTCCGATATCCTATGTAATAAGACACGAGGTACTGCGGACATGTAATAACGCAGTCCGAATGTCAGAAAATGTGCACAGGAATAACTACACACCTAGTGAGGCTAGTTCAGATGGACAGGACACGGGATGGACAAGTGCGCGCGAAGTGCGATCGGCCGATGCAATGTCCGAAGGTCCGATGCGCCGGATCCGATACAGAGTGGCTCAGACATGTGTGAAAGTGCATTGGACATGTGCGCATATGGTTCGGGTGTTGACGTGAGTATGGAAATACGTGGTTTTGAGCCCAACACTGCGACCATCGCTACATCGGTCTAACCTCCAGTGCAGGTGTGTTTGGCTCCGTAGTGGATATGCTCATCGCTATATACAGCAAAGCGGGTTTCGAGTTGATTCGAAAGTGGGTTGACGACTTTCTCGTCATTTGGCTGCCACATCAGTTGTGGACTGAAGCGGATTTTATTGCTTTAACAAGCTACTGCGGGGTTCCCTGGAGTCTCGAGAAACTCAGGCTATTTGCATCAATCCAGCGGTACATCAGTTTCAACTGGGACTTGAACCAGAAGCTAGTGTCTCTGCCAGAGGAGAAGCTCCGCAAAATTCAGGAGATGATTACTGGCTGGCTGCTTGTCGGGGCATCATTTACAGCGAAAGAGGCTGCAAGTTTACATGGCAAGCTGGTACATGTTGCATGTATTTTTCCTTTAATTCGACCTCTCCTCCACTCGATTGCACGTTTTGCAGTTGGTTTCCATTCTTCTCATGCACATCTTTGCCCTCCAGCAGCCATTATCTCGGACCTCCCTTGGATTCAATCCTTATTGTTATATCTCCCAAATCGTGTTCCAATAACCAACCCATTCCCAATCGATAATGGGTGGTGTGGTGACACAAGCACATCCTTCGGAATTGGCATCGTCATCCAGAGCCACTGGGCTGTGTGGCATTGGTCACCAGGCTTCCAAGTTGGGCCCAATCGAGCTTTTGATATCAGTTGGGCAGAAGCTGTAGCCGTCGAGCTCGGTTTTCGAGTGGCCATCCATTTGGGTATTCTTTTTGTTTCCTTCCGTGTATCCTTGTTTTTCTGACAAGAATTCAAGGTATCATCCCCGAAAATTTACCTACGAATTTATGTTATCTCGTGCGTTCAGACAACGCAGGCGTAGTCACGGTAACCAACAAGGGTCGTTCATGCAGCGCCGAAACGAATGCTGTGTTGAAACATATTTATCGTCTGAAAGCAGAGTGTTGTGTATGCCTGCACGCAGTACACGTGCCCACCTGCACCAATATTGCAGATGCCCTCTCACAAGGCGACATTCGAGCTTTCCAAGCTGGTTTCCCTGGTGCGACAGACACAGTATCTATCCCATTGCCACCCCATTTGTTGTTATGGCCGACAAGCTCGTTCCATGGTCAAAATGACATTACACTCCCCCTTGCCAACCATACCTATTGTGCACTCATCTCCCACAACCTCTGCCTTAGCCGAGCTCAGCTCCTCGCATCTCTGGCCGCCTTGCAAAGCACCAGAACAGATGTTTCTCTGGCGAGGTGTGACTGATCCCCCTTTGTCCACTATCAGTCATCCTATAATCCGGCATATCGCTGACCTCGCTAATCGAGCATCACTTCGTGACACCGCAGGCTATGGTGCTGGTTTACAAAAATATCATTTATTCTGTGACATCTTCTCTGTTCCCGAGCGTGACCGTCTCCCAGCTTCATTTGAGCTGCTACATTCCTTTGCACTATGGGCTGTGTTACGACTTGGATGGTATCTGTTGGCGACGCTCAAACAGAGCTTGTGTCGTCAACGGTCTGTGGACGTCCTTGGGCTAGCCCAAGGTTAGGGGTCGTACTTGGTGTATCTTCGGCAAGTACGATTTGACGCCTATGTCCAAATCGGGTAGCTTATGTCACGCGGGTGCGAGACGATAAGCTATATCGGCCTAGGCTTATGACACCCGAAGGTTAATCGTAAGGATCGTCGTTAATTAGAAGGACAGAAGTCCGACTAGTTAACAGGGGCTTTGCTCGTCGACGAAGTCGATGAGTAAAGGTCGAGACTATAGGCTTATCCGCGATGAGCAGATAAGAAGATAGAATATAGACTGCTGGCGAGGCAGAAGGATCACTCTGGTGAGAGTAGGAGGTCAAGAACCAAGTAGATTCAAGTTAGGGAATATAGTACATGGTAGCGAGTTTATATAGAGGACAGGGAACGTATTAGTGGATGATAACTCGTACTACCGGGAGAGGCAATCGGTAAAGGGTAAGACCATAATAGGAAGGCACGTTCGATCTAGGTAGAACGTGCTGGATAAGAAAGTGAGTCAGAGATCGGAATGAGAAGTGAAACGCGCAGGGGCACGATCATGCAACTGCGGATCTAAGTATAAGTCGCATGTGCGACTGCGCACCGAGTCAGAGAACAGGAAAGGGAATAGGGCAAAGGGGATGCATCGTGCATCGTGTCATAGGTTACCATCCAGATGGTAAGGGCAAGGGGACTGTCCGCGGGATCAGTCAGGTGGTGAAACGGAGCATGGGTATGCTTCGTCAGCGAAAGGGTCCGGCCAAATGTACTGGCTTTGCTGAAGCGACAAGTAGAGGGCGAAAGGGAATGCGAGGATGACGAGGATGACAAGGGTAAGGTCGGGGTAAGGGTATGATGCGAGGGCTGACACGAGGAGTATTAGGAGAAAAATGGTAGGGGCCCAAGCGTCTAGATGTTCTTGTAACAGGCTGTCTCTGACCCAGATCCTAAAGACCCCATCCTATCAGCTCCAAGTGACATTTGTTTCGAGCCCGTCTCTGTTGGTGTAGCTCGAAAATACTTATCCGCAGTGCAGGCCTGGCACATAGCTCAAGGCTGGCCTCCACCTCTGTCGGACTCACACCATAGCCGCATTAACTGGTCTCTGCGGGGCCTCAAGAATATGCACGGAGGCCGCTGGAAACCCCTCCATCCTCCAGTTACTCTTGCAATGCTGACAGCTCTCAAAGCCACCCTCACATTATCTGACTCCTTTGATGCCTGCATCTGGGCAATGGCATCTTGTGCCTTCTTTGGCATGATGCGTTTTGGCGAGGTTTCAGTTACTTCCTGCGCAGCATTTAGGCCCTCCAAGCACCTCACAAGGGCACATGTCTTCTTTGGTGTCGACATGCAAGGCAATCTGTATGCATGTTTGGACCTACCTTCAGCCAAAACTGCTCGCATTGGGGAAATACAATCCATTTTTCTCAACGAGCAAGGTAGCTTGTGCCCCTTGGCTGCTCTCCACAACCTCGCACAAATTGTTCCTGCGCTGAGTGATGATCCATTATTCTTGTGGCGAGACAGCAAGGGTGACATCTGTCCGATGGCAAAAATTTGTGCACTCGAACAAATCAATTCAATTCTGATGGCCTGGGGCTGGGGAACGACCTTTGGGCACTCCTTTCACATAGGTGGCACGTCTTTCTACTTGGCAAAAAAAGTCGAGCCCGAAATAGTTCAAATTGCAGGACGATGGAAATCACTAGCATACAAAACATATATCCATGCCTTCGAGCAAATTTCCTTGCAGCACCTCGCCAACGCAGCATCTCTATAACAGTCGCCTCCACATCTGGTTGGGCTGAGCTGCAGCTTTGAGCCACGGATAGTTTTGGCTCGTTGGGTGAGCGGCTCCAACCTGCCTGCATCCCACCCGAAGCTAATGCTCGGACCAGCCCAACACCTCAGATCATGTCACCGACTCTATAGCATCAGTTGAAGCTGGAATGTACAGGTGCCGGGTTACATAGCCTGATGGAGTATTCCGGCACCAAACATCCAGCTGAGCGATAGTGTAATTTTATTCTGTTTCATTTTCGACCATCCATCATTGTCGAGTTTGGCATAGCTCACACATCCTCACTCGCACTTACCGTCATTATTTTCACCCACCCACCACTCCCTTGTTAATTTTTAATTTTTTTTTGTACCATAAGCTCTCGCTTCGTTTCTTAGATATTATTATCAACGCGGATAATTGCAATATCAAGTTATATCATTTTTACATGGCCTCTTGCTCACGAGTCAACACACAATCAAACTCGTAAGTAGGTTTTCCCGCTCTCCCAGCGGCTCCAACCTGCCTGCATCCCACTCCGAGCTAACGCTTGGACCAGCCCAACACCTCAGATTGTGTCACCAACTCTATAGCGTCAGTTGAAGCTGGATCTCAGACCCTGCTCTCCCATCTCGCATTCTCCTCCCACTTGCATCCTCCGTGGACACTGCTCGCATGGCTGCCCATGGCTTCATTCCTGCCAACAATGCCCAAGTAGTGCTGCCATGGTCCAGTTCGGTCCAGTTCAGAGGGTCCTGGATGAGAACCGAGAACTGGACCATGGTCTGGTTCTGCAAAATCTTCGAACCCCGAACCGGACCACAGAGAACTGTTCTCTGTGGTCTGGTTCGGTTTTTTTCTGGTCCAAACTCGAACCGAACCCAAAAATTTTCAGTGGCAAGCGCGAAAAAAAAACATTGGAATACTAGTTTACACGTTGAGTAGCTACTCCAATGACATGACTACATACCCATCTCTGCCTCTGTAGCTGCTGAAGATGCTGATGTGCCTGGAGGAACGTGAAAGTAGGAAGTGAGGACGGTGCAGTTCTTGGCAATGAAGGCTGCATGCTGGATGCTTAGACAGAGGATGGCATCATTTCAGAACAGGGAGAAAACACATGCACATCCTGAGTGAGAGACAGCGGGGTGAGAGACAGCAGGCAAGAGATGGAGGGCAAGAGATAGTGGGCGAGACCTGACTTATGCAGGGTTTATCTGCAGGTAGTACATATAAATATTAAGTTAGAAATATGAAAAAAAGATTGTAAAACAGGACTCACTAAGACACTACAAACAGCAGGCAGCGACTTTGATCATCATGGCTCGAGCTCAATGGAGGATCAACACACTGCAAATGGCAGACTTCAATCAGCATGGCTCAAGTTGAAGGAGGATCAACACATTCATTCACTGCAAATGGTGGGCAACAACTTGGATCAGTGTGGCTCAAGCTCAAAGGAGGATCGACAGACTCACTCACTGCAACTCCTCATCCAGAGTCGAGTCTACATGTGCTGCATGTGAGCAAGAATGAGTGCCGCATCTCATCCTTTTCTCATCTTTGGTGTCCTGGTGCCGTCTGTAAGTGTTCGTGCCATGTCAGCACTTGCTGGCGTGTGTTGGGCATTTGCGCATGGTGCTGGTGGTATCGGATGCAGTGTGGTGGTCATAGATGTGCACGAGCACACAGAAATGAACGCTGAGCGCTAGCGAAGATGCTTGTCAGTAATATACATAGTACAAACATACATAAATCAACATAAGCGCAGGTGGCATGGTGTGTGATGGGTTGTGCGGTCATTTGTTCCAGTGCCGATGCTTCCATGAGTATGATGTGCGCCTTGACAACACATGATTCTGTTCTGCCAGTAGTAGTTGGTTGAAAATTGAGTTAGCAGCACATTGTGACAGCAAGTCATGTGAGAGTTTGATTGATTAGTACTTACCTTCAAAAAGGCTAAAGGTAGCCTGATTAACCAGTAGTGCGAATCCTGAAGACAACAGTTTGACATGGAGACTGAAGTTGTCACAGTCAAAGTCAAAGTCAATAACAGTTTGGAATGGTTCGGCAAGGCCGAACCAGAATGGGACCATTGGGGAAGACCTGGAACCGAGAACCATTTTCCGGTCCAGTTCTGGCTGGTGTGAGAACCGTGGACCGAACCACGGAGAACCGGACCAAAAGTCCGGTTCGAACCATGGTTCTGGACCAGACCGTGGCAGCACTATGCCCAAGTAGAGGGATGGAAAAAGGTGTGTTTCATCTCATTTGATGATCTCACTGGATGAGAGCTCACTCATGTCCCAACTGCAGGTAACAGAAGCCATCCACGAGAAGGGCTCTTTCATTTTCCTGTGACTCTGGGTGTTGGGGCGCGTGGCACACCACAGACACATCTGGCCTTTCCATCACAATTCCTCAGCTCCTGCTGCTTTCTCTGCCATTGCCACTCCCTCCATGGGTGGTAGTTTGCCTATTCTCGTTCTTGCCGGATAGGATTTGCATTGTGACAGGTCATTCGTCCAACTACCCGGTAGTTATTTTAACCTAGGTCCTGGATTCATACTCGTCAATTAGGTTACACACCAGAGCTTTCTTTTTTCTACTCAGCGAGACCAGTAATATAAATAAGTCATTTAAGTGCAAAAAGGGACTTGGAGATTTTGCTGATGGAGATAGACTCAAACATAAAGCTTAAAGCACAGGATGGACTGTGTTTGCGATGTTGAGGTGTCCTAAGGTGTCTTATGTAGTACATTGACAGTCGGCATCCCTAGCCACAGGTATTGAGAGAAAATTTCCCTACAAACTGCAGAAGGGAGATAGTACGATATCAGTGCCAGTTCGTGCTGGAATGGAAAGATGATTATGCATGCACCTTTGGGAAGATATATCATCCATGGAAGCCCAGTATCTGAAGAGGACCTGACTAAAATTTGTTGGTCTGTGTTGCTGTCGTGAGGCTACTGTAGAGATACGCACTTAGCTTCATCACAGCATCACACGTCCGACAAATCGAAGCTATTTCATGTGACCATCACACAAGATTGAAGTCATTGAAGGTAAATTGTGACACACAGTAAAACATGAAAAAAAATGCAAAAATGTTCTCAAAAATTCTTGTACTGATTATTTGCCATGCATCTCGCTTTACATGACCAAAATTTTCTTCATCACCATCAGCTGGTAGTAGTGCTGATTCGAAGCTATTTTTGACATGTCACAGGTCACACCCATCTTCGAATCTTCGAAGCTAAGGTTCAGTTGGTCACACCCAGATGATGTCGAAGCTAAGTGTGTATCTCTACAGTATTAGGGAAAAGGTTTTTTGAGCTGAAACGTTTCAAATTCATACGAAGAGTTCAGAACAGTGTTCTGCCGGTCAACGAACATTTGCCAAAGTTAATGTATGTTCAGCGATGAACTTTTACATGAATGCAAGTAAACTGAACTTGTGGAGTACCAGAAGTCCTGTCTGAATATTATATAATCGCGTTGTGATTGGACAATGAAGCAAAAATGAACCACAGAGCCGCTGCCACCGCAGAGTCGAAAAACTTGTATCATCTGCTAGTAGCAACATATTCAATGTTCTCTGAGTCAGTACAGTATGAAACAGCAATAAATCTATTCAGCAAGGACATCATCAACTTGAGGAAACTCCAGATCTTCAATTCCTTCTGCATCTGAGTCGAGAAGCTTGTACAACTTGAGCTCAGCATCTAAACCTCGGATGGCTGTTTTATAGAAGGATCCTAGCCATTCCTTGGCGTGAGAGTAGTCGAGTAAATCACTGATAGGGATACAAGTGAATGGATCAGTGGTAGGTGCTGAGTGCATCATTTCCTCAGCAACAACAGCTTCCTCTTCACCAACAGCTTGAATGAGGTTGTGTGCGAGCTGTCTTATCCCTTGCCTCTCGAAGGCAATGCTGCGCTGTTCTTGCCCACCACTTCCTGCATCTGAATCATTGGTTGCCTGTGTTTCGACAGACTCTTTCTCGTCACAGTACTGGCGCTTAAGCCGCTTCTTGAGGACATCATTGTGTACATGCTCTTCATGAACATACATCTTGAGTTCAGCGAGGAGCGTGAGGGTTTCTGTTGAGAGCCGATTTCGCCATTTCATGAGAATTGCGCCAAAGACACTGAAAAGGCGCTCGTAAGAGGCGGAATTTGGGCAGATAGAAAGAAGGCGCAGGGCAATAGAGTGAAGTGGTCTAAGTAGTGACCCAGGATGTGACAGTCCGTCCCAGATATTAATTGGATCAACTGCGATACCCTGAAGGCAATTTTAGTAATTTTTCTTGAAAAATCAACTTGACTGCAGACCTCCTTATCAGCGCGAGATAACAATGCAAACTTGTAGACATCTATGTGCGCGAAGTCATGGGAACCACTCATATAGTCCTCTAGGTCTGTGTAAAGATCAAGTGGTGCATCCGAGTTGAAAAAAACATGCTCCAAAGACAGTCCGAAAAGTGCCGCAAGCCCCACATGTATGTGAGAGGTATCTTTTTGAATGGCAAAATCTTGTAGAAAGGATTGACAATGACAGCAGCAATAAAAACTTCTTGGTCACATTGTCCCCAGCAGCGTTCAGCACTTGCAAGAACAGCTGTACTGAGCAGTGAAGATCAGTGTGATTTTCAATCTTGGAGTAACTGAAAGTGCAGGAAACCAAATGAAATCACAACATGTTCAGGTCTTGCTTGGGCTGCTTGGTGAATATTCGTCATGAGGGAGATTGGTTCGAGCAGAGTTTCCCATCTATGAAAGAGAGTTAGTTTCATTTCATAAAATTTATTATCTACTTTACCATGCCATTGCATGCCAGAATGTCGCATTTTTTATTGTGTTGATAGCAGTTTGAGTCTTCCTGCGTGATCGTGCATCTCCGCTTGACATTAGATTAGCCTTGTGCTTTGTAACAAGCAGTTCAAGGGCAGGTTCGAAGCTCAAGAAGACTGACTGATATGTGAGATAGTGTGATAACCAGCTGTGTCAGCACTGCTCTGAGAACCGCGAGTGTTTTTCCAATGGTTGCCATCTGTATCTCACATGAGAATGGCAAGTACTTGTGTCTTGCTGCGTAACCATGTAATTAACTCCTGTGCCATATCTCCATATACCCCGTAGTCATCTTTGACCTTGAAAAGGTCTCCTGACAATAAGATTCCACTTATAAATCACCCTGTAAGTACAATTTCATATCAGTTCCGATGTAAATTGCCATACCTGATGAGCTACACAATCAGGAACAACAAGGTGCGGAAATTTCTCTCGAAGTAGACGATGGGACCTTTCGAGATTCGCCAGATGCATCTGTAGTGCATGCAACCACAGTGGCCCCCCCATTCAGTCTCAATCTTGCTGATTGCCTCTAATATCTGCTGAAGAAGTTCTTCGGCTGTCTGAGGATCCCTTGATGCATCGTGAACTTTGACTGTATGTAACTACATTGACAATTAAGTAATATTCTTGACACTCGCAGCCTTCATGGACATACCTTTCTCTGTGCTGTCATCATGAAGCCCAGAAGGTGGTGATGATTTTCACCTGTCCAGCCATCGCACTGCAAGGTTGCATTGGCACCTCGGCATTCATCTTTAGCAATAGTCTTAAGTGTGTTGAGGGTTTGCGGCATGACACGTTGTGTAAGGACTTTCGCTGAAGGTATTTTTGCTCAAGGAAGGAAAGCATCACATAAAACTTTCCATTCATGATTCTCGACCCATCACAATGGTAAACCGGCACTTGCAGTGAGCCTTGCAAGGCTAATCTCCCAATCAGCTTGGTCCGAAGCTGACCAAGGTTGGTCACTAAAACCATAGAGACTTTGTCCCAGCACAACTGGGGAAAGAGGTGGAAGCGAGCCAGAAACAGAGCGGAACAAACCAGATTGATTTAGACATTGGTGTTTCCCTAGCTGGGATGGTAATGAAACTGCAGAGAGTGCCGGACTGACTGAAAGAGAGTTGCGGGTATAGAGACTAGAGGAACCTGATGATACAGTCTCAGGAATCAGCAGGGTAGGCAAAGGGCACACAGACTTGGACTCTGGAACAGATGAAGCATTAAGAGCTGGCATGGTGAGAATTATTGGTTGTATACCAGTCGTCACTGTCATATGAGCCCAAGTATTTTTTCGTGGTGAATGTTGTTCATGGTATTCGAGTCATGCTTGTGAACGAATGTCTTTTGAGTGCAATTCACATTCGTGCAAGTGATGTAACAGTGTCGATGGCCGACTAATCAACCAGACACGCTGGGAATCGTTCTGATCAATGGCCCATACTATATTTCAAAGTTAGCAGGAGACACTGGCAGTGGTTACACAAGAGATCATGTACAAGCACCTGCAATTGCAGCTTCGTCTCTTGGTATATCTCACTGGCCTGCTTGAATTTGCTGCTCGTCGAGTGCCTGCTCATGAGTTATGCGTTGCTCATAAAGCCTCGCACATATAACTTTTGCCTTTCCACTGACTACAGAGGCACTTTCTTTCGCGGCATAACCTGGGTGCACTACGAAGTGGTCCCACCACCATCCTCTGTTTGATTCTTTGTCATCGAGGAATTCAAGTCAGTAAAGGTGTGTTGAAAGATGAAATTGGCAGTCTATTGTCAGGCTGCGAGTTCTTGAAGTGTGCCTCCAGCCGAACAGGTGAAAGCCACATGTTTATAACGAGACTGCACAGTGTGCAAAGATATCAATTTGATAATCATTGATCAATATTGATATGGTATAGTCTGACATGGTAGGACCAGAGGGATAAATCTAATGAGAAACCCCCTTACCTGGGGGTACTTGCTTAGTCAGCAGAAACCCTTCTGACTTTACACGTTCTGGCAGGGTTTCTCACGGCCGGAGCCACCACCATGCTCAGCTACAGCACTGTCCTGCCGAAAACACATACTTCAGTTGAACTACAGTAAGGTCACCGCAAATGAGTTCTGAGGAATCCTATGAATCATACTCAACACCCAATCCATTTTCAGCATATTCTAACAATTATTTTCGGAGCATCGCCTTTGAGAATTCTGTAGCTCTTGATAACGAATTGTCATGCAGATGGTATCAGGATTATAATTTGAATATTCAAACGGTGTCAGCAGTGTCTCTAGATAACGGAATTCTGGCCTTTGATCAGCACCCATCACAATAAGTCCACCCCACCTATCCAATCCACTTGATTCCTCCAGCGCACAACGAAATGCCACACCACCCACTCAGACTATTGGTGCACGTGAAGTATACCACGAAACTCACGCTGCACTCAAGCCGCTCATAAATGGTGTCCACACAAAGGAAGACCTCGATGAACTGCTGCAGGATCTTGACGAGCTGCGGTAAGTTTTTGTTGGTACATTGATTAAAACATACCAATTTTCCATTCAGGAGAATGAAAGCTGAAGAGGCCCGCTCCGCTCTCATTCACGACCCTCCAGTCATTCAGCAGAAAGGATGCCCGCGGTCAGCTCGACTGACAGGCACCATTGAAGGTAGACCACAGGGAGGAGGGCCATCAGCGAGGAATCAAGTCTGTTCAGAGAATATGCGAGCGACTCCAACAGCGTCCCAGGCATGCCTCGAGCCACCCAGCGCAACTCAAAGAGCGCGTCGCAAATGTGGGCTTTGTCGATGGGAGGGATTCACACGGCTAAATTTTGGTTGGATTCGAGAAACGGATAATAGGTGAATCTACTACTGAGGACTTCAAGTTAGTTGTAATAGGTAGAGGGTGGTGTCTCAGCATCTCGTCAACGATGTGCAGTCAACTTGCAAGTTGAAGGAAGGTTTTGGAACTTTTGATAATAGAAAAATCTTCTTCGCCAGGTTCCCGCGCTTGTCTTTGAAGTTCTTCTAGCGTTCAAGGTCGAAAGCGTCATCATTGTTTGAATGTCGAAACCACGTGAAATTCTTCCTCCAGCGTTCGAAGTCAAAAGCGTCATGACTCATCATTGCTGGAGATGGTGGCAGCGTTGAAATCCATGCGGACACACGGCAGACCACGGTGTTCCCGATTAGGTCATCAGAGGTTTCTATATAGCGTCTGAGTTGATGATGGGGTTTATTTCACTCGGGGGGTTTCTCATTAGATTTATCCAGACCAGAGAACCGCTCGAAGTCATGTTCAAGTAAACGATGATGAACTTCACCAGTTTTCCCACGAAACGCGGTCAATAACCATGACCTTGAGTCACTGACTGGCAGAACACTGGTTCAGAACGCATCAATGATCGGTGCCAGTAAGGACAGGCCTCATTTCTGTCTTTATGGCATTTTCGATGATCCACAGCATGGCAATTGCAATGGCACTCCACGCAAGTAATTGAGCTGTCCAGTTTCCCACCGAAATCCCTTTTGAAGGTCGATCAATAGTGCGTGGTATTGACATCGTCCGAAGATACCAAGCATGGAGAGAGTCAGGATGCCAAATAGCAGGTACGAGCGCAAGGGATATGTCGGGAGCGGGAGGAACGGAGAAGGAGCTGTTGACGTCGGGACTGAAATGGTCCAAAGTAAATTTTTACCTTCAAAATAATCGAGAGCGCTTACCATATAAATACTAGCGCCCAACCGTTGCGAGTGTCTCAGTTCTTTCTAGAGACTGAGACATGAGTCTACACCTTTACCCTTATTGTTACACTTAACTGACTTAGCGTAGTTACTCTTACCTGTTAGGTACACGCTTCGTCAATATGAGTTCTTTCTAGAGACTGAGACTTACTCTTACCTGTTAGATCTTTTCTATCTCGCTCAACCTCTAATCTCTAGACATGGTTTGATGAGCCATTTGTTATAGGGTGACTTATTCAAAGTTGGAACCGCCGCTTGATGTGAGAATCATCAATGATTGATGCCATTGATAGAGGCCATCATCTGGATCGAAACCCTTTGCCAAACATGCCGCATCTGTTATTTCCTACCAAAATTTGAACACGAATCACATGCACAAAATACCAATGTTACGAAAAGAAAAGAAACATGAGTCTAGCCACAGTAGGTCCATAGCTAGCGCGAAATAAAATCGATGGGACATGACTTTCAATTGCATGCGACAGACTGTAAGAAGAAAAAAAGACAACCCGAAACGAGAACAAGATACACAAGTGCCCATGGTCATATATCTCTAGTGCTGTACACCGCTAAACCTGCGTCGCATTGGCATGCTACGACAAGGATGCTATTCTCATCATGCAAGAGGAGGGCATGTGGGTTCTCGTCGCCACATTCACGATTGCACTCACTCAAAGAGTGGGTGCAAGCGCAACCGCGGCACAAGCCGCCATACACCCCCCAAGGGCCGTATTACATGCTATCAACACAGGAGGTGCCGCAGGGAGTGCGACCCCAAATGTGAACCCAGCACCAGCGTAGCAAGCGACAGCCAAGCCATTGCATCCTGTTCAACATGTCGAGTTAGCGGTACACGTTAACGATGTGATTAGACCTGACCTGTCTGACATATAGCGTAGCCAAGTGGACCTGCAACTACAACCTGAGGGACTGCAGTGGCAGCGAGGAGTAGGGCGAGTGATTTCAAGTTCATTTCGAGCTCAGAGAGTGGTCACTTGACTGAATAAGATGGTGGTTGGTATTGAACAGAAGACTTACGTGTTTACTCAACTGTTATATGGGCGGGTGATGAGATATCGTAGCTCCGTTTGAAAATGTGATGAGTCGCCTCGCGTGTAATAAGTATGCGGCGTGAAAACTAATGGGAAAAATGAACTAGCTTGTTAGTGCGTCACAGGTGATACACATGGTGATATGACTCACGAAGTGTAGGTCCATCATACCGTAAGTGATAGTTCGCACCACTAGTAACAATCGAAAGGGATGTTCAATTCTAAAATGTCGTTGTCAATGTCGACTTAACCTTACGGCCGTCCTCTCGTAAACTACTTACGCAGACCCTGAACCTTTCCTGATTTAGCCGCTACCGTGTCGGTTAAACCTTCGCATGGGAGGCATTCTACACCTTTTCACAGAGTATCCTCGTCCCAATCCTCGCTGTATAGAGCCCAGGTTAGCTACCTGAACATTCCCATGTGGGAGTAGTAATTTTCCTAAACATTTATTCATGATACTTTTGAATCATTGATTTGGGGAAAGATTTAAACATTATCGAGCAATACTACATAGAATGGTTTACTGGGAATAGGATTAGGACGAGGATACTCTGTGAAAAGTAGATTTCGCAATAAACATGAGAAGCTTTGAGTAGTTAAATTGGGCTCTAACAGCAATTGCAAGGAAGGATAGTGACAAGATGTAGAGTGCAGTAGACGCAAGGTTTGACGACTAAATCAGGAAAGGTTCAGGGTCCACGTAAGTATTTACGAGAGGACAGCCGTAAGGTCAAGTCGACATTGACGACGACATTTTAGAATTGAGCATCCCTGAAGTACACAGCATTGCTTCATTTCTTGACAGTGTTCCACTGCACGCTGATTGTAACGGCGCTCCGGGCAAGGCTTCAGTCTGGCCATCGATGCGAGCCTCCCACCAAAATCCCTTTTGAAGCTTGTTGGAACCACCACATCAACTTTTGTCTAGATCCAAAGACAACTGCATGTTCATTCGTAATCTTCTGTCAAAATTTGAGTACAATCATAATTGTGATGCCATGAAAAGAAAAAGAATCATAGAGTGTAGACACTAGCTAGCGCGAAATAGAAACAGCGGAACATAGACTCTCAACTGTATGCAACCGGAAAGATGGACGATGCGAAGATGAAGTACATAAAAGTACATGGTTGTATTTCCGATGCTAAACATGCCTCGTGTTATCATGTTAGAACAGGGATGCCGTTCTCATGCCATTAATCCAGCTGCAGCAGAATATTGTACTGCATGACTTATGGCCACTGCCACGGTAATACCGGCCGCACTCAGGCTGGCGCAGACAGTCATTCCTGTTCAAGAAGTCGAATCAGCAGTGCACGTTAATGATGCAATTGGATCTTTCCTGGTGTGCAAGCCACCGCGACAACTGCAACCGAAAGGACTACAACGACAGCAAGGCATAAGAAAGCGGTTCTCATTTTTTACCAAGAGAGCGGTCAATAGTAGTGACCTGACTGAATGAGATGGTGGTTGGTGACAGAAAAACCTGGCGGACTTACCGCGCGTGTTTATCCACCTGTTATATGGGTGGCGAGAAGAGATCGTGACTCCGTTCCAAAGTATCGCCTTGCATGCGACACGTGGCAGCGGCGTGAAGCACCAGTAATCACAATTTCTACATGTCCATAAGTATACGCAGGGTATAAAATCTGATCGCCGTCCTACCGTGACAATGTTACCCCAACCTAAGAGATATTATTCAAGAACTCCCTCGCACAAAAAATGCGTTTTTCCCTCTTCACGTTGTTGTTGCTAATCAGCATATGTCATTCAAAGTGCAACGCTGTGTACTATTGGTCAATTCTGATATATGCATTGGTGGACCTGTCGCCTCGCTTGTGACCTTTCGCGCAAAGCGGCGCACAGCGACATAATCATATTTTCAAACGGAGTTACGATCTCCCCATGTAAACACACGAGTCGTAGGCTCTTCCCTTACCAACCACCACCTCACTGGCATTCAATCAAGTCGCTATTGACCACTCTCTGTGCAAACGATGAACTTGAAATCACTCGCCCTACTCGTCACTGCCGCTGTAGTCCCTCATGCTGTAGTTGCGGGTCCACTTGCCTCAGATTATGGTATTTGTCAGACAGGTAAGTTCCAGTCAAATCGTTGCGCACCGCTGACTCGACTTCTTGAACAGGGTGCAATGGCGTGGCCGTTGCTTGCTACACCAGAGCCGGCTTCACATTTGGGGTAGCACTCCCTACGGTGCCTCCTGCGTTGGCTGAGTGCAATTTGGCGCTGGGTAGATGTATGGCGGATTGTGCCGCGGTCACCGCTCCCTGAGTGGGTTCTACGGTGAATGCGCCTACAGAAGCACACAGCCCATCTTCTCTTGTGCGCCTCGTTTTTGTCGCAATTGTGTATTATCTTCCACCTCGGACATCGGTGTTTTATCAGTCATACGCTGTGGTTCGCGCCTAGTCCGTGACTGCGTTACATCGATAACTTTGGTATGTGGTATGGTCCTCTTGATTCAAGTGATTCCTATTTATGACGCGGTTGGATTTAGGGAAGATAATTCGACTTTGCAATAATTATGATGAAAATTGTCCCGGACCTCGCGGGTGAAATGACAGCTTCTTCTACGTTTAGTATTGCTGTATATTGCTGTCAATATCAGTATGTTTACTAATTATCTTTCTCGTGAGCTTCTTGAGCGCTTTCTTGTTTACTGTCGCCCCCATTTTCTTTGCATTACTCTCCTATGGTAATTTGGCCAGATTGATCATGAATGAGAACCTTGCGAACGGTAGCAGGGTCGACGGAGTGTTGCACTTGTTACTACCCTGATGGTCATGCATGGCACGGGGCAGATTGTTTAGCAGAAATGCCTGATCCTCAATTGTTCAGTGGTATGAGTCCAAACATGGCATGAACCCTCCACATTGATTCCAATTTGAGGTCGGTGCTTGGGAACACCGATGTGACTCGGATGATCGAAACACTGCTAGCTGAGTCATCAGAGAATTCATAAGAGGCTTTTCATGAAAAGGTTTTTCGAGAGTCCATGCCAGCCCGGTGACGTGCGCGAAGTGATCAATCTTGTGGATTGAGACAAGGACTCTGCCAAGTCCGAGTTGCGGTTGAGGATGACGAACGTTAGATGTGATGTGATGCAGAAATCCGGTTGACAGTTTCCGCTCGATATCATATAATGCACTTTTGTAATCACGTAGAATGTCTCACGCATATATTTCTCAGAGCTTAGACAAACAAGATTCAATTTAGTTCCCGCTCCAAGCATAACAGAAAACCTTATAAATATCTTCCCATACTCGTCTTTGTGTTACCTATATGCACGTCTCATATCTTCGTTGTCTCGTTCGCAATTCCTTGTCGAACTCAGACCCAGCCTCAAAGTCCGTCACTAGGTGTCGCAAAATGCCCAATCCTGGTACCGCAATTCTGCGGGTCGACGGTTTTTCAGTACTCGGTGAGAATCTGCTAATGAGCGACAATAATATAATGAATAACTCACTTTTGATGGGAGAGTTCCCATCATTTAACTTGATACTATGCCTGAGGATAGGCAAACGAGTCACATCAGCTAAAGATCCGTCGGAGAAACGATAATTGTAGCGGACAACAATTCACCGCTTCCCAGGAATTTGTCCACAGTAGTCTCCGAGTCGATCGGAGAACCTAGCCAAAATTGCAAAGTTACTGAGTACAAAGATCGATCTTTAGCGAAGCTGGTGATGCAACAACCCTGCAGTCACGTCTGCAGCAGGCGCGGCCGGCAGAAATGGGGCATGCAGACAGAATATCAGCAGCACGCAAATAGTATAAATGGAGCAATTTGGATGAATTGAAGCGCTGCGAAAAGACAGGTTCAGAGACGGTTCAAATTAAGAATTCATGCGGAAGAACTCGCATATCATGAACTATACCCCTGACACAACACGACACCGGCATGGGCAAGGGCAAGGGCAGGTTATGATACAAGGGTCGCAAGGAGTACACGGTCCTGCAGTTCTACCGAAATTGATGTCGTCTGACAGCAATAACGATTCTTCCATATCAATGAGAATAATCAGCATCTACAGGATATAAAATCTGGCTGTTCTTCTATAGTGTTCCCATTTTCAGAGATATCATTCGAAATCCCCTTCAGAGTATTCCATATCACCTCGAACACAAAATGCGTTTGTCGTTCCTCGCCGTTGCTTTTGCGTTGACAGTATCGATGTATGTCAGTGCACACGAACAGTGTGCCATAGAATGCATCAAAGATTCAGACTGCTGCCTGAACGACGTTTGTGGAATGGATGTGAGTATGAGCCTGTGCAACTAGGATTCAACCACTTAACTCACCTACATGCCTTCAAGCATGGAGTTATGACCTGTATGCAGGTTGGAAAATGAGGCAGCAGCTCCAGGGGCACATCGAAAAAGTGGGTCATTGTTTTTCTGCTTTCGCTTTGGTATCATGGTTTACGGTGCAATACCTATAGTTTGGAGTCAATCACTGGTACAGTGGGACAAATTTTCGTACTGTTCGAGCAATTATATGTATGTTTGAAAATTATCGACCATGTCTGCTAGTCTTGCTCGTGACCACTAAGCTTGAGTTCGAGAAGCTGTCGAGACGATCATCGCTGATTGATATTGGGAGGTTGTATGAACCACTGCTTACATACTAAAGCTACCGTTCCTTTTCAAGTTCCCCGTCAAACGTCAACCGTCCCTTGTACCCCATGCCCGCGTGTGACCTTGACTATATACCAGAAAATAACAGGTCTGTTATGAATCACGACCGGCAACGAAGTAGCGTCTTTGAAACAGTCTGCATAAACATAATTAGTGATTCATGTACTTAAACGGATTATGACGTACGGCAGTTTCGGAGTTGTGACACGAGCGAGATTTGTGCTAAGTTGTTAGAGGAATATATTTGAGCCATAACCTGCAGGAGTGAGAAAGGCAGGTCACATAGTGACACCGGTACAAACAGCCTGCAAATAGTTCTGCCCCAGCAATCACAAATTCTACGTGTCCCAGGGTATAAAATCTGACCGTCCTCTTACAGTGTTACCCCAACCTGAGAAATATCATTCGAAAACCCCCTCGCACAAAAAATGCGTTTTTCTCTCCTCACCGTTGTTGTTGCTTTGACAGCATCTATATTTGTCGGTGCAAAGTGTTCTGACCAGAATTGGCCTTGTGGATCAAGTGAACCTTGTTGCGACGGCTTGTATTGTAGGTATGGTTCCGTGAGTGTGAGTATGAACAGGTCGCTGCGCAACCAAGATGACTCACCTGCGCGCCTCAGGATGGAGCTTTCCTCTGCCAGCCGTAGTCGGTTGAAATTTGAGCTGGAAGGCTGAGCGGCACATCGCGAAAGTGAGTCATGTTTCTGCTTGCGCTTTGGTATGATGCTTGATGGTGCAATAACTGACTTGGAGTCAATCAGTACAGTAATTTTTAGACAGAGGTTCATACTGCTCTCGAGTACTTGATTGAAAATGATCGATCATGACTAGTCTTGCTCGTGGTCCACTAAGCTCGTATTATGAAGATTGCGCAGCTTCAATCTGTTGGTCTAAGTTTGGCCTCGAATGCTAGTAGCTCGTGGAATTGTTTGTGTCTGCACGCGAAGGAGCCACAATACTTTGTTGCCGATCATGATTCATAACAGACTTATATAGACGGGCTTACTAAGTCACAACCTCAAAACGTTTCTACTTTCTACACATTCATAATATACGATGTCCCAATATTAATCATGAACAGTAATCATTATTTGTTTCGACAGTCGAACTTAGTGGACCACGAGCAAGAGTAGTCATGATCGATCATTTTCAATCAAGTGAGTGCTTCAGCAGCAGTATGAACATTTGTTCAAAAATAACTGTGCTAATTGGCTCTGAATCAGGTATTGCACCATCAGGCATAATACCAAAGCGAAAGCAGAAACGTGACCAACTTTCGCAATGTGCTGCTCAAGCTGCCGACTCAAATTTCAACCGACTACGACTGGCAGACGTAAGCTCCTTCCTGAGGCCCGCAGGTGAGTCATCTTGGTTGCGCAGCGACCTGTTCATACTCACGGAATCATCATAGACACAAAAGTAGCCATCGCAGCAATCAAGGTCGGGATCACCTGATACACAAGGCCAATCCGGGGAAGAACATGCACCGACAAATATGGATGCTGTCAAAGCAACAACAACGGTGAGGAGGGAAAAACGCATTTTTTGTGCGAGGGGGTTCTCGAATGATATCTCTTAAGTTGGGGTAACACTGTAGGACGACGGCCAGATTTTATACCCTGCGTGTACTTATGGACACGTAAAAGTTGTTATCGCTAATGAACTATTTGCTGGCAGTTCTGCTGGCACAACCAAGCGAAACTCAGAAAATAATGTAACTATCCATCAACAACAAAAAACCATTGGTTGACATCAATGATGCGACATCTCAACTACCATGATCAACGACTGAGAGCTCGTCGTCAATAGACTTTGGCACCATATCAGCCTCACACGTCGGGGGTTTCAAGTTTTTACCTCTTGCAAGATTTCAATCAAAAGCAGTGGACCTGGCTAGAGCATTCCAGAGCACTCTAGAAGACATTTCGAATGTGATTTCGCTGGCGGCATCTCGAGTCCGTTGATATCAAGATTAAGTTTTTCAATCACGTTCTGCTTCTCAAGTGCATCAAACTTTCAGTGGCTCTCTCGCCCAGACGACTGGACTCGGAATCTCCACCAAAAGGATCAAAATATCTGCCCACTGGCTGGATTGAACAACCGACCTCACCATTACGAGTGGCGCGCTCTACCACTGAGCTAAACGGGCTTGTGGACATAGTTGAATTAAAATTATATAATAACATTAGCCCTGTTCTCCGCGATTTAGCCTTTTCTGAAACCCCAGCTTCAAGTTCAATTAAATTCAGTTCCTGCACCTGTCGTCTATCTAAATCACGTCGTAATGCACTGCTGGACCGAGCGGAAGACTAGTCTTCAAAATACAAAAATCGGATCCTTATACAGATCTCCCATCGCGAAACGACTCACTGCTGAAGAGGAACCTCGCAATTTCGTTGCAATCTGACTTGCAGTCACCGTTCGTCACATTCTGCGCTGCGAACAAGCATGGCTGCTGGCTCCTCTGGATGCCGAATCCCGATTGCATGGGATACAACTTTACTTGTGCTTCAAAGTTGTACTGATGTGGACAGAATAGCATATAAATGTCAGAGGTTCGACTCAACATATCTTGTGCGATAATTCTCCGAGGACCTTTGGACGTTGACCGATGTTCTCCAATGCCTGATACCTGCCACTTCTTTCGCCTTCCTCACAATCCCTTGAATATCTTCTTGACCTGGCACCTATGAGTGGTGTGGAGAGTGTCTCAGAGGTAGCTGCGTTCACGTCTCCCCGCATGTACGCATTGGGCTCACCCTCTCGCAGACGTGTAAACAGCTGAAAACTGTTTGTAGACTGGTTCGCGCCCATACATGTACAAGCTAAATCAAGAAATTTTGGAGTATGATGCTGCGTCCGCATCACCGACGGTGTCCTTTTCGCAAGCGCTGGCTTCCGTCAGGTGCAAGGAAAACAGGTGGAGGACGATACGTTCCAATCACATCGTACTACCGTTTAACTTTGAAGGAGAGCCGCCGCACTGGCTGTTCTCAAAGCATGGCTCTGTGTGTATCTAGACAGGTAGCATCGGCTGTTGTTCATGTGGACACAGTTGAATATTCAACATACCGTGGCCGAATTGACAAGATTACTCGATTTCATCCCGCTGATGTCCTGCGGGACTTTCTTGCTCTCCTACAGATGAGATACAACCTGGGTCAGTGGTTGTCCTCTAATACCTGCACTTAAATCATGTTGACGAACCGTTTTCAGAAGGGCATTATCACATCTCTGCTTCTTCTCATTGAAAGGGATGTCTTCGCATTCAGCAGCTGCTAGCTTCACGCATTTTTTCGTCGCCGGCATCACTCCCATCAGATATCTATCTGCTCTGCTTCATGTTCGTGGTCTAAGAATACTTGGTCCCTGGTTCGCCATTCACAACGGATCGACCTTCAAACCAGCTGGAAGCGCATGCAAACATACCCTACTTTGCAACTGGGAAAGGCATGGCATTATATGAATTGGTACGCACATGTCTTTCGACCTGAAAACTAAATCACACTAACCGAGAATTGGCGTACATGAGGTGGGGATTCAACCCGAAAAGTCGACGACTTTCATCTTTTAAATTCTCGTATGCTTGCTGTCATTCATAGAGCCCCGAACCTGTCTCAACTATCATAAGACCCCGCCTTTACGATGTCGCTTTCCAAGCCATCTTCTCTTCTTCTGGTTGCATGAGACTCTGCTTGTCTTTGCGTTTACGCTGTATCGAGGACAAGGTATCTATATCTCTCAGTCATATGATACTACCGCTCCCTACAGGGTACCAAGTTTTTATCACAGCCCCCCGTGCTATACACCATTGCTAGTTGACACATGTATCCGATCTTGGAAGACCATTGAAGTCATGCTGATTCCTGCATCGGAGTCAGCCGCGAGTTTAGACTGATGTTCTCGAACGCTAAGGACGAGGCGTGGTCCCAGCACAAACTGCTGGACGAGCACAAAAATTTGAAGTGCACCCTGATAAATTTGGGTTTCCACAGAATATTGGTCCTATAAAAATAATGAATCGACAGAAGCTCGGTGACAGATTGACATACCGCTGAGAATGTTGGAGACAAATAAACGAGTTCGAAGCAAGAAATAGCAAGAAAGCTAGAACGTGCAGAGCTTCAGCGGAAAACGAGATCCATATTCACATCATAAACTCACCTCGCAAAGTAAAGTACGTGAGTTTTCATGAGCACTGTGACAGAGTCACTGATAGTGATCCATGCCGTCGACGGTCGTCGCAAGTTCACGAAAGTGTTTGACAGCAATCCAAACTACGAGACACAGTGCGAGGACCTCCCATATAGCGGCGAGTATCCAATACATGGAAACCAGAAGTAGGATATTGCCCTCAGCGGTGCACAGATAGGTGCCGGAGAGAATGAGTTCCTCTAATATTCGTCAATGAGCACCACCACACACATAAGCCTTTCCATATTTACGGCTCACCCTCTGTAGTACGTTTCATCGCTATTGCGACGATCACTCCGTCTGCAATGTTGACAGTCAAGAAGATAATAACAAGAAATATCAGCAAGTTTCTGGATCGCTGATACATTGCACGTAACCGAGCAATCATGATGACTTGCGCGATGTTTCAGTATAATTGAGGTATCACAGCTGCCTAGCTCACCGCCCATTATTGCAAATACGACGACACTTTCCCAATTCATTGTGAGGTATATGATACGGCCTGATAAACCCAGAAGTTAGTGATCAACCTCGGAGGATCACACTTTGAACAAACCCACATCTACAGCAGTCATTATACTGGACCAGCATCAAGTCTCTCACTCACCCCTGTATGGGAGTGCAGTTGATCGGACTGGAATGGACAGGAATCGGTGCAGAACACTCACTATATCAGTCACAGAGATTGTAGGAATATATACTGTATGCACCAGTGAGAATAAAAAAACTTGGAATATTTGAAATGACATAGTACTTAGAATGTTAAGGCTAAATGCGAGACAAACTTATTAGCAGAGCGTCCGTTGCTTAGACATCCAAACCTACACAGCATATAATATTCCAAGGTAGCGCAACTAGATATTTTCAAGTTAGCACAACTTACCAATCACACTTATAATGCAAGCTACGCACGCTGAGATACAGAACTGTCATCAATGACCAGCGTTGCCTCTGCGACAAATGAATGGTATCATCATGCTGTTCTTTCGTGGTGGGATTCTGCTTACCCAGATCAATTCGACCTATAAAACCATTCTTAGCGCGCTGATTGCACTGGTAACGTCATCAACATACCTCTTGTCCAAGCGTCAGTACTGCAAATACCATAAGTTGAATGCCAGTTGTTTATGAATACTACCTTACTCACTCCAGTCATACGTCACTCCAACAGAGGCAACAACTACAAAAACGCAACCAGTGTTAGATCGAGATATCGTCTGAATAACCATCCACAAACCTGCGAAATAGCTGGCTATGCGATTCGAATTGATAAGCGGCCACCAGCTGGGATCATCTGAGACTAAAGTCATATTACTTGGGGATGGGTGCAAGGGAGCGGTGAACTGGGTGGCCATATGACGATAGCGTCCATGCTAAATACCCGCTATCCAGCGCTTGTAACGCCAAAATTAGCATTACAACGATGCATACCTGTTCCCATCTTGATTCTTTATTGACCGAAGGTAAGCATGGTCGCATGAGATCGATCCAGTGCCATCAATCGCAACGCACTGGATTTTTCGGTCGCGAACCTGCGAAACATCCCACGGGCGGAACATTTGATCACCGAAGAACTGTTCGTTATTGAATTCGTAAGTTGACATCATCCTCGAGATCTTCTTCTACATCTGCATCATTCATCGAACGAGTTCGCATCAGTCAAAGCGTGTGGCACACAGGATCAGTGCGATGCAGTAACCGTCGAAACAGCCTTTGATAAACTGCCCCCAATGGATTATTGGTACTCTCACCGCCTCGGGAACCCCTTCAAGGACATTCCTAGGTTCGCCTCTCCCTAGCCAAATGAAGATAGTTGTTCCAAGTTCCTGCTCGGGACTCGGATAGTTAGCGCAGGCGTAGAAGTCCTCGGGCACGTCACAAGAATGCCGAACACTGAAACGTGATAAAGGGCGGTGAAAATCGAACACGCAAGCTGATGCAACGTTGAAACACGATCGGATCAGTTAGTACAATTTGCACAGCCACATCATCAGTAACCTTGGTCCGTATTTATCCTGCATTGTCTGCATATTCCCGTGATAGCTGTCCGTATTACCACACACTACAATGCACAAGTAACCAAAAAATATAAAGTGATAAAAGTATTCACCACCGCGTTGAAGATTTACACATGATGCGTCGCCATACTCTCGCCACATTTGGCTCATAATCCTGCAGGAATAGCGACAAGTGAGGCTTTCCGAAACTGAGGAGAAATCGACAATTACCTCGTCCCATATAGGATCATCATAACCATCCTCATCAACGGGCTCCCAACCTGGGCATCCATCTATCCAGCTATGTTACAGATCAGCAAACGTGATCAAACTGTCAGATGCTACAGGGGCAACATACAATTTATCACCTGGTTCAGGGTCTGGTACAGGCATACCACGCATATAACGTCGAATCAATGGGAGCTTTTGTTTTGCGGCGAAGAGTGGTGAAACGAAGCTATCCTTGTCGGTGCCCTGGAGGAGGAAGTCCGAGCTCGAGTTGGACCACCATTCCAGATCGAAGCCAACCTTCGACGGAAGAAGTGCTACAGAGACATTCTCTTCGACTTGATGATAGACATGAGCACGAATCATGGATTGAAACAGAAATAACATACGTTTACTTGACAGATATATGGTCCATGCGCGGCACTTGTAGACTGATGGAACGATGTACAGACCATTGAGCTCCGGTATTCTGTATAGCACGTCGAGTACTTTATTGCGCGGAACGTGATACAGACGGGGCTTGTGCATGATGAGAACAGCACCTCGCTTGCCCTGGTGAAACTTGAAATTCAACTTGAATGAAGACTTTCTGAAGTTCTCTTTCTTGCTAGCAGACAGTCAGGACAATAACCCGACAAGAACTTTTCAATTACACTCACGCGTGTGCCCCTGGATCAAACGGTTGCTTCCTGACACCCGAAGAAGTGACAATCATATCCTGTTCTACTGGATCCAACTCTGGTGGATAGTCTGACATCGTGAAATTCCCATGAACAGCGTCGAGTAGGACTTGGAATTCTGGATCATAGATGTTGCCGAGGACAGTGAATCGTGTTGTATCAAGGTCGAAACGGCCATACGAACCAACCTGTGTCCTTTAGTCAGCGCGCCTCTAGTGCATCAACGCGATATCGCTTACCTTGATTGGGTCCTCTGGATTCCAGTTAGCGTAGAAGCCTGAGCTAGATTGCCGCATGAGGTCGATATATTTTCGCTCTGCTCTCACCATGGTTGTATGTTGTCAAGGGCGTGGATCATGTCCTTAGATGGCTGTAGTGACACCGATTGCCGCAGTGGTGCCAACGCCGTAAGTTTGGTTTACGACTGTTTCTGTGTACCACTCCCACGTACATCCATCATCAACAGACAGTCTAGGTATGAATATTTGGTAGCTTGTTACAGCATCAGGCACCAAGGACTAACTATGCACACAACCATATCTACTACCAGAGTGCGAGGGGATCATCATGATGCTCCACAGCGGCTGTGGAGTATCATGTTATATACTGTCACCTTGCTCCGGTGCTACAGTATATAATATATTAGTACTATAAGAACAGGTGTTATCTCTGCAGCTCTCTGCCCAACCTAGTCAGCTCATCAACTTATTTCTGAGTAGGGCGGTGAAAAATAATTGACCCGCAAGGGTGCGCTGACTTGCAAAGTTGCAATTGGTGAATAGTTCTTCAATCGTAATTTGTTTTTTTTTTATTGGTGAGCTGGCATCCGTTTGATTCGCGGGCATCCGAGTCCGCCGCAGTGTTGGAAGAACTCCAACTTGAACCGGTCTGGCAAAACGATTCAAGCACATGAAAGTGTTTGGCTGGAACACTGATCATGCGGCTAACCTGCGCGGCCCAGAAAATACCATAACGTTCCATTTTGCCAACCGCGGTCTGGGAAAATGTTTCAAGCATATGAAAGAGTTTGGCTGTACCTAACACGGTCATGTATTTAAAGCCAACCTGCACGGCCCAGAAAACACCATTAACATTCGACTATGAAATCGACTTCACTTGCCACTATTGTCCTATCTGCAGTAGTGATGACTATCGCATCTGATTCAGTTGCAACGCCCATAGGCCAACCCTGCTCCCCCGCTAATGAGTACTTTGCGGCATGCTACGCGCAGACTGCGTACTTACGGTTATCCACAGATAAACCGTTGTGCGAACCAAACTCGAATGCTTATAATAACGGATATGATTATGGTATTCACTGTGGATCAACAAATAAAGTTGTATCATTTGAGTATTGTCACTGCAAAGGTTGCTGTGCAATAGGTGACGGACAGATGATAGCCTGCATCCCTATGCAGTAGACTTGCTCATAATGCATACGGTCGGGACCGCCAATGTTGTATATCAAGCGCTCGTGGTAGTCCTTCGGTACCGTCTTTCATTTGCTAGTACCTACATATATCGTTTGTTCCCGCGCCTCGCAGCTTTCCTCAGTTGACTTCGCACGTCCGCTGAGGTTAGTACTATCTTCGTATATAGTTCCTACTTAACTGACACTACCTGTAGCTACTGCTGCAACAGGTACATATCCAGGCTATACTGTGAGAATGATACATTATAAAACTAGTAATGTCAGTGTGAGGGTAATACATGAATCATTGCACTACCGAGAATTACTAGGAGGTATAGCAGTGATGTATCAGTGGAGGATCCTACCAAGCAGCTGCCAGTCCAGTTTCTTGGCTTCCATCAAGCTTAGTCAAGCATGTACCTTGCTTCCTTTTATTTTTATCCTGTCTGTGGAGATTACGAGCGGAGGGCTAGAACAAAAGGTACGATCTCAGTGTTTGGACAAATGACTCTTAATATTAATTAGTACCTAGAACAAAAGGTACACTATTGTTTTGGTTAGCATCTCGCTAACGTATACGAAATGGTAAGTCCTTACATCTCAGTGTTTGGACAAAGGACTGAGATGTTTGCTTGAAGGCTCATTGGCTTTATAGATGGTAAGTAAGGAACGGAATAGAGGGGAAAATTTTGACATATATTGGATGGCGCAACCTGACATCAAGAGGGCGCAGCCTATTGGCTGCGCCTGGACTGCGCTCGGACCAGGTCATACTTTTGGCTTCTCTACCTCTGAGACTTCGGGCTTCCTTCCTTCCACGTCCTCTCTCTCATCGGTGACTTCGGACTTCAACACTGTCTCCTATGCATCTTTTAATTTGTCAGCACCTATTTTCAGTTATACTGGTGCCAGGTCATGCAGCCCACCAGATAATCTATTTTTATCCTATCTCCTATGCATCTTTTATTTGTCAGCACCTATTTTCAGTTATACTGGTGCTAGGTCATGCAGCCCGCCTCCTCATTCGTTCAAAATCTTCAAATCCCACCTAGTCACCACTCCCTTTATCTTAGACATCTGTTGGTTTAGTGTTTCACACACCATAATTACTTTAGATATTTCTCTACAAAAAATATTGTCATTTTAGTGCTTATCAATTCCTCAGGTGACTCGAACATGTTCGAATTTCATGAGTAGGTACTATCCCGCCCTCCCAATGGCTCCACCATGCTTGTGTACCACCCCTGAGCTAGTAACACTCGGCCCAGCCCAACCTTTTAGAATGTGTGACCTAAGATCTATGTATAGAGATCTGAGTCAGTGATGTATCAGTTGAACTCAAACACTGCAGAAATTTGACTAAGTCCACCAAGTCAAAAGTCAATACTTCTTGACTGTGAGCTTGGGCGGTTCAGTCCTTATTATGGGTTTTCCATTCATACAGAATTAGATGACGGACTCAGAATGAGGCATTGAGGCATTAACACAATGGACTCAAGCAATACATACAATGTAGTACACGAGGAAGCTGATTATGGTACACTAACGACTGAAAGAGATGAAGGGATGAGCTACTGTGAGAGGTGAATGAAGAAACAAATGTTGGAGTGTCACTAAGAGGGCTGTTGCTGGGCATATTGTAGTACTAGGAAAAGAGCAGCTATAAATGAACATGAAGGAATTTACCTAAGTTGTACCTATGGCATTGGCAGCAGCCGCCTGGGATGACTGGAAGCATTGTTGTTTACCTCGGCCTCCCTCGATGGGCTGCGAGTGTTACAAGAACATCTAGATGCCTGGGCTCCTACCATTTTTCTCCTAATCCTCCTCGTATCAGCCCTCGCATCATACCCTTACCCCGACCTTACCCTTGTCATCCTCGTCATCCTCGCATTCCCTTTCGCCCTCTACCTGTCGCTTCAGCAAAGCCAGTACATTTGGCCGGATCCTTTTGCTGACGAAGCATACCCATGCTCCGTTTCACCACCTGACTGATCCCGCGGACAGTCCCCTTGCCCTTACCATCTGGATGGTAACCTATGACACGATGCACGACGCATCCCCTTTGCCCTATTCCCTTTCCTGTTCTCTGACTCGGTGCGCAGTCGCACATGCGACTTATACTTAGATCCGCAGTTGCATGATCGTGCCCCTGCGCGTTTCACTTCTCATTCCGATCTCTGACTCACTTTCTTATCCAGCACGTTCTACCTAGATCGAACGTGCCTTCCTATTATGGTCTTACCCTTTACCGATTGCCTCTCCCGGTAGTACGAGTTATCATCCACTAATACGTTCCCTGTCCTCTATATAAACTCGCTACCATGTACTATATTCCCTAACTTGAATCTACTTGGTTCTTGACCTCCTACTCTCACCAGAGTGATCCTTCTGCCTCGCCAGCAGTCTATATTCTATCTTCTTATCTGCTCATCGCGGATAAGCCTATAGTCTCGACCTTTACTCATCGACTTCGTCGACGAGCAAAGCCCCTGTTAACTAGTCGGACTTCTGTCCTTCTAATTAACGACGATCCTTACGATTAACCTTCGGGTGTCGTAAGCCTAGGCCGATATAGCTTATCGTCTCGCACCCGCGTGACATAAGCTACCCGATTTGGACATAGGCGTCAAATCGTACTTGCCGAAGATACGCCAAGTACGACCCCTAACCTTGGGCTAGCCCAAGGACGTCCACAGACCGTTGACGACACAAGCTCTGTTTGAGCGTCGCCAACAGATACCATCCAAGTCGTAACAAAAGATTCAAGTTACCTTCTAGCCCTCGACACCTATCGAGGACAGAAACAGATACAAGACGACCACTCCCTGGACACGCAAGTTCTCTTGGGAGCGCGACCCGAATCAGGAAGATCCTGACGAAGAAGAGGTAGACGGACAGTTTAGCTCTCCCACCTCACCGACAGAGCAGTACCACTCAGACGAGGGACTGAACGACGAAGAAGATCTAGGAAACACTCCGACTTCTGAAGAGGACTTTCCAGACGAAGTACCTCCCCGAAACACTAGCGCCAATCCGAAGACAAGAATGTCTAACCCATCCCTCCTCCACCGCCGTCGTAGTTCGTGCCCCTGAACTCAAAGCAGGGTCACCAACAGACTACGATGGGAACACCGACGACGCACAACGATGGCTCTACAGCTTAAAGACGTACTTCCTCATCAACCCCACCGTCTATTGCAGCGAGCAGATCATGGTGTCCGTCGCCCTGTCATTAATGACAAAGAACAGCGCTAAAGCATGGGCTGATAACTTCTATCGCGAAGCTTTCAGCACCAACCCTCCGAAATTCGGAACGTTCGCAGAATTCGAGAAAGGATTCAACCTTGCATTTCAACCCGTTGATAAGCAGGTGAATGCCCTCACCGAAATCGCCGAACTCAGAATGGGAAACAACGTTACGGACTACATCTCGAAGTTCAAAACTGTTGGCTACCATCGCCAATATCAAGGAAGGCGTGACACTCTCACACTTCTTTGAGAAAGGCCTGAACCCAAGCCTTCGCGAAGCAATCTACAGGAAGGAGACACTTCCTGACACTATCGAAAAGTGGTACACTTCTGCGGTACAGCTCGACGCTAACTACCGCAGGAGCAAGGCCGTCTCTGCCAACTCCCGCAACCAACACACCCGATACGCCCCTCGCGGTTCCAAGTACTACCCCAAGCCTAATGTCTCATCGTCCAGAGACCCTAACGCTATGGACGTAGACCGCACCCTCTCTCAGGCAGAGAAAGACGAATGCTACAAGAAGGGCCTTTGCTTCTCATGCAAAGAGCATGGCCACAGAGCCAACGATCCCAGATTCCACCCGAAGATACGACGTGGAGAGAAGAAAGATACCAAAGGAAAGACTCCGGTAACGACTGGTAGAGACCAGCGTGATGACGAAACCTCCGAAGACGATATGGAAACCAACAGGCTCCAAGGAGAAGAGGATTTTTAGAGCGGAGGACCGCAAAAGCAACGTGCGTCCCCTCCTTAGATATCCTGTGTACTCATACTGTAGGAAAAGAAAATGAATTCCGTGTCCCGGTGACACTTTTCTCTTCCACGAGTACGAAAACCGTTGCAACAACAGCCATCATCGACTCAGGGGCTGGGGGAACATTTATTTGTGACACCTTCGTAAAGAAGCACAATATTCGAACCCACCTCCTGAAGAAACCCTTCCGCATCACCACAGTAGATGGAAGTCAATCCACTGCTGGGAAGGTCACCCGATACTGCATACTCTTCGTCCGACTCGACGGACGAACTATGTGGGGAAAGTTTAACGTCACTAGACTTTCCGAACGAGACGATATCTTGCTAGGGAAACCCTGGCTATCCGCCATGAAACCGGATATCGATTGGGGACGCAACGAAATCACAATGCTCCCCACAACCAGATCCAGATACGTTGAGAATCTACTCAACAAGATTCGAAAAAGGAACGGGGTAACCCCCTACCGATTCGAAGGTCTCCGACCAATGATCGAGGACGAGGAAGAGGCACCTTTCAAACCTCTCAAGTCACTCCCCTGGGTACGGAACACGTACTCGAAGAAATTCGACGCAAGAAGAAGAAAAAGAAGACGAAGAAGGCAAAACCTGCCAAGGAGGTACCCGCCGAAGAAAAGCATTTCGAAATGCCTCAAGAAACTGACGTCATGGAAGACGTCTGGGTAGGGAAGATCGAACCCCTACCCGAAGTCAAGGAAGTCGCGACTTACCCCTTGACTGATGACGAGATTCTTATAGAATACTCGGCCGATGGTTCTTCGGTCAGATTGATCGAGAACCTTACCTTCGACACTCCCCTAACTAGGGATGGAACCTCCAAGACGGAGACCACGAAGACAAAGAAGACTCCCCTTCGCAACATTTGGATCCTTGCTACGGCGAAGGAGGAGTACACGAAAACCAGTAACAAGGCGCAGGAATTCGCCAAGGACAAAGCTCAAGAAACGAAGAAGAAACCATTCGAAGAGCTCGTCCCCGAATACCTTCACGACTTCGCAGATATATTCGCGAAGGATGGGCTTAACAAGCTCCCCCCATCGAGACCAGGTGTAGACCACCGGATCGAAACGAAGGAAGGTTTTATCCAAAATCTTCCCGAG